GTTGCTTTATTAATTTTTTCATTCAAGAATATATGTATATAAGTATATTAAATATGTAGAGAGATTTTTTTATTACTCACAATTTTGTACATACACTACAATATATACATATTTACAAAATACAAAACTATATGTAGTAAAATAATTCGAAGCACGCAATTCGATTAAATAATATATAGGTAAAATATGTATATTTACATATTCAACTTTTATTATATATACATATATATGAATGTAATACAAGTTGTACCAGCCATCAATAAATACTTTGCTAAATAAGAAATAAACCAATAATTAGGAGTTTTTATTGACACCTAAGTTTGTGATTTAATTTATTTGAGGCTGGTCTACTAAATTTCCCAAAAAAAAAAAACAATTTTTGAAACAATATCACTCCTTTAGTTGCTTGATGCTGGTGTAATGTGATATTCTAGGGAAATGAGTCACTTAATTCTCTTTAATTAACCCCTTCTTCTTCATTAACCCCTTCAATTGCATTATATTAACGTGTATTAAATTTAATTAAATAAATGTTTAAAAAACTAAACAATTTTAAAAAATTCTTATTTTTAAAATATAGTTAAAATTTTAATATTCAAGTTAAAAATATCATATAAAATCAATAACCGCCGTTACGGTCAATAATGAAAATATCTATATATACAAAAGCTCATTGAAATATTTTTAAAATTTCCAGAATTTTTTTACATAATTTGATGACTTTGATGTTGTAAAAAGTGCATTAATTTAGGCTTAGTCTCTCGTTTCATATTATTTATGCAAAAATTTTGAACACATATTAAATTCCGTATTGTACTTAATTTTTGACTTCTTTTTGCTATTTTCAGCATGTTGAATAAAGTTGTTTAATTTTCAAATAAGTTGTCAAATAAGTTGAATTCTTACTCGAATGTCAAAACATACAGATTTTGACAAATTAAATTTCAGATTTTGTTTCATAATGCAAACACACTGCATTATGTAAATTCGTAAAACTGTAAAAATTAGAAATAATAGAGAAGTTCTATAGGCTATTAAATCTATGGACAATCTCAAAGGCGGGGACTATTCATACCTATAAATAACTTATATAATTAAATGGAAAAAAATAAATTTATTATCTTCCAAATTCTTCATCAATTTCGCATAAAAAGCAACAATATCAACCTTTGTACCAATTTTTTGAGGTTAAGATCGATTGTATGAAAATAATTTTATAAATTTAACAAATATTTTTTTTTATAATTTTTTGTTTTCCTAAATTTTCATTAATATTTTTTTATTATGTTCGCGCACAAGTGATTTACCTTTTCAATACACTGTTAAACGATTGTACACCGTATATAACAGATTTATTTTTGTTTGAAATAAATTACAAACGTGGCAAATTTTCTATTCACTAACAAAAAAAAAATATTAAAGTACAAAAGATTTTCTTTCCTTTTTCTTTTTTGATTTTTATTTATAAAAATTTTCTTTCACCATAATATAATGAACTCTGTCTCCTCCCGATAAAAAAAAAATAAATTTTGGGTTCGAATAAGTTTTTCAATACAAAATAGAAAAATCTTTGTATAAATAGGTATAGAATCCAACAGATAAAAAAAAGGGTTATAATTTATGTAAATAACCATAAACAAGAAAAATGAAATTTAGAAAGAAAAAAATTACCAATAACATTACAGTAATTTATGATATCCTAGAAATGCGTACATATACACACATACAACATACGTACAAGATGAAAACCAAATCAAGTAAGATGAAATTCAAGGTCATTTTCAATTTACCTCCTTTTTTTTTTTTTATTTTGTTTTTTTTTGCTATGTTTTTACGATTGAAATTTTAAAGTATAAAATATTAAATTATAGAAAAAAAAATAGATAGAAATAGAATATTGTACATTTATTATACAGAATGGGTACACATTTTACACAGGACATAAATTTGAAATTACCATAGTACACATATATTTTCCGAAAAACAAAAATAAAATTATTTTTATCCTTTATGCAAAAGTACCTATTTTTACTTTTTGTTATCTATATAATCCAGTGCATTGTTGTGTAAGTCCAATTCATTTCTATATTCCTTACCTAAAATAACCATACTGATTTGATGCGAGATAATAACCGAGATTAAGATATAAAAACAACCAGTTGGTCCCCAATTTTAATTAATGTACGAGTATGTGTACATATTAAACTGAAAAGGATTTTGTATATATGAAAACACTTTGTTAACGGTGAAAATTATGCTTTCATATTATTATATTAATGATATAATTACAGTTACGAATACTATACGAAATTTCAACAGATTTTATGGTATAACTGTTAACAAAAAAATAGTAATAATAAATTTTGCATATATAAAAATTAAAATTATGTGTTCCAAACGGGATCATTTACAGAAATCGAAAACATATCATTTAATTTTACGATCAAACTTGTCTTTCTCGTTAACATAAACAAGTTTTACTCCCTTTGTAATTTGACAAAGAAAATTAATCACAATTAATATTCAATTACTTAGACGGATTTCCAACAGTTTCCGATCAAAATAGTTATAATATAATATTTAGCTATTAAGGGTGTCCGAATTACAAATTGCGGGCCGATTCTAATTCACCAATGTAATTTGTTTTATTTACGTTAGTTTAATAATAAGTAAACAATATGCGGAAAGTCTCATTGAAAGTATAACTACAATAACTTACAAATAATTTGAAAAATCGCATGAATTTTATAAAAGAGTATGAATGTGCTAACTTTATTAAAGACTATATGAATGAACCTTATTAAAGACTAAATCGCATGAACCTTATTGGTAAACCAAAACGATTTTGGCTATTGTAGTAATTTCTTCCCTCGAAGCACTTCTGCGGAATCGGACGACATAAAGTTCGTGGAGAATTAAAAAAGTAGTTGGAGAAGTGACGTTCTTATAACACTGGAGAGACTTCTGGGAGACTACCACCAGAAAAGCTTTAAGAAGATCATAGGCAGTTTGGAGCAGAAACCAGTTAAGAATTTTCATTGGTATCTTGACAGAGCATTGCAAGCTTTCAATCCAACTTAGGAGACTGGGCCTAGAAAGTGGGGACACTTGCACATTAGGAGACGTTGGCGCACCATCTGGGAAATTTTGCGGACCTTACTCGCAGGAGAAGGGAAATATTAACAAAGTACGTGCTCTTATTTTGATACCCTAACCTGTTATTTGGTCTGATAGATTGTTTTTTATTGTACAAACTTAATTGTGTAAATAAAAACAATCTATCACTTTTTTAATATTGCATATTAATGAGAAATGTTAAAAATAATTTTTTATATTTTCAATTTCTGCATATCTGCATTACATACATAATGTAACATGAGGTTATGCAAACAAAAAATTTCAATATTGATTTTTATTTTCAATCTCACTTCAATCAACAACTTAAAACATTCAATAATGTTTACATATTTCCTATATGGTTAAAAATAAGGTGACCAAATCCATTTATTATTTCTTTTTCATTTCACAAATGGTGTGTAGTTTTGTTAAGATTTGTATTAATCCTATAATTTTTGTAGTAACACAATTAATTATATACATAATTCAAAAGAAACCAACTCTATCTGCGACATATTTTATTTCAAATTCAAACGTATATATATTTTATTTCAACTATTCCAAAAATTTACACAGAGGACGAGATTATATTTCCTTTATGTTAAATTATATAGTGGTATTTTTTTTATTTTAAATATATATTCTAAATATATTTAAATATACTTTCCTCTGTATTGTAAACGGTTGTTGTATGTTATTGTAGAAATATATGTATATTTACATAGTAACAAACTGAGTAAACAAATTGTTCATACATAATATAACCATACAGAAAATGAAGAATTAAATACTTAGATTAATTAAAAATATTAGACTTAAATTATTTCAATTGTTAACTATAACAGTTTCTTTGATTGTTTAACACAATTGGGAATATTATAATCATTAAAAATATTTTTGATTAGTCGCAATATATTACCAATTTTGTCCCGCTTTTAATGAATTACTAATACATATATAATGGTCACATTATAGAATTTTTATAATAAAACGTATGAATAATTTTCCACTTCTTGCGCATGAACTAGGCTTGCATGATTGAATACATTATACATTTATAGTTATACAGGTACTTTATAGTATTCCTATAACCAATTTATATTCTCCTTAAATTGAAATTAAAAATTAAAATTGAATAAAATTAATTATAAATTATAATTGAAATTTAATTCCAAATAAAATTTAATGTTTTTGTTATATAAATATAGAAAGAGAACTTATGTAAGAATGTACTGTCTCCTGACGCATTTATTGAGTTCTTAACATTCAAAATTAATAAAATTAAGAAATCATAAAAATGAAATTTCTATCTGCGTCTTCTATTCTTTTATAATAGCTATAATAGTCTGTAGTAGACTTAAATTGTTTTAAAGCGCATGTTCTTAACTTTGTTATTATTTTCCAATATAACTATTTTATTTTACTTTTAATTCTTATTTTATTCTATAGCTATTGATATTCTTTAAAAAGCACCTACTTAAATATACATAATCTTATTTTTGGCTTTTATTTTAGTGTATACAATGAAGGAAACAAGGACATGCGCTTAGAATATATTGCAAAATTTTTGATGTCAACATAGTTTTAATTTTTGGTTTCATTTTTTTTTCTTTTCTCTAATAAATAATGTTAGATTTCTGCATTATAAAATTTTTGTTAATATAGTATAGAGAATTAACTGACATTGGTATTGTATTTTCTCTTTACAGATTTTGTTAATATAGGTATATAGAAGGGTATAATAATTATATTATGTGAATATGCGCAAACTCATGTAAATTGTAAGATAGGTAGATATTTTTGTTCTTATAAATTATAATGTTAAGAAATTGGTAAGAGAATCACTTTTTTATTTATGGGATTAGAACAATTTTTTCTTTTTTTTGAAATACACGAAAGTAAAACATTTTTGGGTTGCGCAAAAAACCAAAGAATGCAGAGTACCTATATAGAATTTAATTATGAAATCATTTTGCGGACAATTCATAATATACTTAGTCTTAGTAATTTTAAACTAATCTAAAATGTTAACAAATTCAAATTTAATTCAGAAATTATGGGTTTTGTTATTGATTTGCTCATTTACGAGTATATAGTGTTTTAAAGAAAGTATTATTTTTGAATAATTATATAAAATTATTTTAAACAAATTTAATTTAATTTATTCTAAACGCATTACTGTTTAAAATTCGCAGTTTCGTAACGATTTCCTTAAAATTGATTAACATGCAGTAACAGCGAAAAAAATGCACTGTTTTCCTTAATAATCTGCTCTAAATTAATTAAACAGAACTACATATACATATATGTATATATACATACATATGTGTACTTAAATCATCCAGCACAGTTAGCTGTACTAAATAACTTACCCTTTCACATAAAAATTTACCAACAAACTTGTTATAATTGATTATCGAAAATCTGTAAAATCAATTAAAAAAATTCATTCCGGTTACATAAATTATTAAATGATGCCTCTACTCTTGCTTCACAATTATATTTTCCTTCTTGGCATGCTTGTGAGAGTTAAGCTTTACACATAATTTCTGTTTCGTTATTAGAAAATTATTAAATTTAATAATAAATTTTAACAGAACTTTAAGTGGATACAATCTTAGCCTACTCGTTTAGCATTTCATGTCTACATATAGGTATGTATAATATTTTATATTAAATATCTACTACCATAACAATTTTTTATTCACATTCAATTCAAAAAACGAATTAACAATTCGCTTTTCCATCATTATAGTAAAGTATATAAAAAAAAAAAACTTCGTTTAATCTCACATTTTTTATATTCCTTTTACAATTCGTCTCAGTGGAATACCCAAAATCAAATTTTTTTCCTCAAACCCTTCATTATAACCCAGTTCAGTATTTCATATACAATAATTCTATACTAAATACATCGGAGGTATACACATATTATGTTTGTCCATAACAAACCAAACATATTATGTATGTACATATTAATGTATTCATATAACACCAAAAATTCAATAAACTCTTACAGCAACAGTACCTACAAACGTATGTACCTGATAAACACAAAAAAAAAAAAAAGCATCAAAAATTAACAATGTATGTATGCTACGAAGCACACGTTTAAAACTAAAGGAGCAGAAATTTTACTGACGATGACGATTGTTTCTATTTGTATCAGTAATTGCAGAAGGAGCGGAGCAGAAGTAAAATTTTAATTCAAAAGAAGCAGTAGACAAAATAATAAACTGAAAAAGAGGATAGTAGTAGTGCGCATGTTCATTCGGAGTATATGCGTAATAGAAATCGATTTTACTGAAGGATAATATAAAAACGTTCCTTTATCAATCCCAATACAACCAAGCCAGTTAGACTTTTCCAATCAAAAGAAAAACAAACAAAAATTCATCAGTCTCACACAATTTAATTTTCATACTAATGAGTCCAATTTGAAAATTTTCTGTATCTTGTTGGAAAAGTTTATTCGATAAGTGCAGTACTCTTTAGTAATTAAATTGAAAAAACAAAAAAAAACAAACAAACAAAAATTAAAAACACAAACGAGTGCGCGTTTAAAAAATCACATTGAAAAATCAATAAAAAAAATTTCAAGAAAAAATATTTTTTTCGACTAAATCAAAATGAAAGTTTTTACTAAAAATAAACGAGAAATGTGGGTATCAAATAATCGTGTCCTAGTTGGTGGCAGTAAGAAAGTGACTGGGCGTAATCCAAATTTTGATACCGATGAGACGAGACTCTTAATTTCATTATGGGGTGATCCAAAAGTTCAAAAAACTTTAATAACGACCCATAAAAAACATGCGGTTATAGCTAGATTAGCTGACAAAATGCGTGACTATGGATATCAAAGAAGTGCTGAGGAAATAAATACAAGAATTAAAAATTTAAAATGTTTTTACAATCGTATAAAAAAAGACATGGAAACTGGATCAAATAATGAACCGACATGGAAACATTTTGCAGCTATGGATGAAATAATGACAAGACCAATATTTAGTGTTCGTCCCAACGAAATCCCTAAACCGTCATTGCGATATAAATTAGAAGAAGCTAAACGAGAACGCGAAGAACGTGGTGAAACACTAGACGAAATTGAAGAAGCTGAACTTATGAGGACATTACAAGCCAATCAGATTAACAATACAGATGATACGACAAATTTTGAAAAATTCAATGATAATAAAGATGATCCTCCTACCAACAACTTTGTAAATGACAGTGAAATGGAAGATAATGATAACGAAGATAATGATAATGGGCATGATGATGATATTAATACATACGATGATGATATGGATTATGAACCAGTTCCTGGGCGCAATAGTAATAACTCTAATAGCAGAAAAAATAATAATGATGAAAAAACATCTTCGATGTCTTTGCGAACAAGAAGTCGAAGGAACGAAAATGCAAATAGAAATAATGATGAAAACCAAAACGATTTACACAATATAAACCAAAATAGCATTGATATTGAAGAGTCTTCAATTATTAAAGACGAGCCTATCGATGTAGATGATGATAGCAATGAGCAAAAACAGAGGTAAATTATAAGTTCAATTTAGTTGGTAATGAAAAAAACCATGCGCATGCTTCGCTGTATACACATTTTGTTAACATTTTTACCGTTATATCATAATATTGAATATCAATATTATATTATGAATAAATTTTTTTTCCCAAAAAAAATTGTTATATGACCCTAATCATCTTGTAAAAAAATATGTGTATGCACAACGACTGCGCAGAGTGTAATTAAAACATTATGGACATTTTTATGTTCAGTTTAAAAACAATTAATTAATACTTCTAATTTTTAAATTTTTTTAGTGAGGAAGATAAAGAATCAGATTCATTCCCACTTGCTGAATATCTGAAACCTGGTGCTAGTAGTAGTCAACCATTAAATAAAAATAAAATAATAACAACGGTAGCTGCCTCCTTAAATTCATCAACTTCTTCTACGACCATGTCAAGCAGTCCATTAAAACTAGGTCAACCTACATCGATTATTAGTATGCCGACTACGAATTCTGGAAGCAATGTCACCTCAAACACACAGGCAAAAATTTCATTAGTTCCAACAAATTTCTTACTAAAGCCTCAAAGTCAAAATTTACAAGAAGTCTCACAACAAAAACAAACACAACAGCAGCAAGGATCACAATCCCTTAAAAGTAATACTTTGCAGGGACTTCAATTAAACCGACAAATTCCTATTCGACCAAAACCGTCACAACCACGAATCATATATACCCATCAAGCAACAGGAAATCAACCGGCGAACGGTATTGTTAATACAAGTAATGGACCAATGAAAGTGCTTCTGGTAAATGCTTTGCAAAAGAATGCACAAAATGTTCAAAATATAGTTACTCCAACTGGTGCAATATTGCAAAATAAGTCAGTTGACATACAAAATAATGCTCTATATCAATCTTCGTCTGGAACATTGCAATCGAATTTATCGAATATGAATAAAATTCCTCAATCGCCTTCTGTTAATCTTAATGGAATGGTCTCTAGCACTAGCGGAGAAAAACTTAATTTGTTAGGTACACCATCATCTAATGGCAAAACAGCAATAGGTAAATTCACAATCATTTTCTCAAACTTTTAAAATATTTTTAAATTGTGAATCTTTTATTTAGGATACCGTGCTTTATTGGGTCAGTTAATAAGAACTCAGGAAGAGTCTAATCAAATTAACCGACAACGTTTGCAGTTGGAAAGGGAACGTTTTGAATATGAAAAGTCTGCAGGAGAAAGATTTTTAAAATTTTTGCCTGATGTTATACCAAATTTGTTAAACATAATTCAACAGCAACAACAATCACACCATCGATTTATACCAGAACAAACAATGACACAACCCATATTTGTTACAGCTCCTATAGTTTCAGCAGTTGAAAGTACGAATAATACTTTCAGTGAAGTTCCAGCAAATAGAAATTCTGAAAAAAAAGATGATGCTCCTCTTGTCCTTTTGACACCTAAACAAGAAAAACAGGATGATTAGGAAATGTTTACCTATTGGGGATAAACATTTTAAAAATTTTAAAATGATCGCAAAATATTTCAAATTTTGTCCTCAACAGGTAGAAAACAATGAATACAAAATGTGATATGATAATATAATGTTGCTACATTAATGAAAAGGTCATGGGAATTAGATATTTCCATTTTCTTGCAGAATATACTCGAAGTAGAAATCTGAACATTTTAATTTTAATACTTTGAGCAATGAAAATTTTTAATTATAAAAATAATAAAAAATATGCATACCTATTTTCTAGACAAATTATTTTTTTATTTGTAAGAATTGATTTTAAAATCGTTTTGCAAAATTATTTTGCTAAAAACTAGAACTAAATATTATATAGATATACATAGTTAGCTAATGTATGTACATGCTCCTACATAGATAGTTGGATAATAGAAAATTAAATTTAGTCTCACTCTTTGTTCTCTACATTGAGGTTTAAATTTCCAAATTTAAGAATAAATATTATTTTCGGAGTCTCGAATTTCCATAACATCCATTTTCAATCTTTGTTTAACTATTTCTCGCCAAATCGCCTCCCTATCCCTATTGTTAGTTACTCCCATTCGTTGTAAAGAATTATCATTTATTCGAAGCAAAGCTCTACCAGTGATCTCGTGCTTCACATTCAAATGAAATAAACAAAAAGAAAGTAATTATAATAAGAACTGGTAATTTAAATATTTAACATCCGTTTCATTTAAAATTAAAAGCCTACCTTTGAAAATAGCTCTGCGTATACTATATAATCGGCGCAATGCCTTCTGTACCATTTTTGCACATCAGCTACTGTCCATAAATATACTATAGCAAAAAGAAAATAATGATAATATTCTAAAAAAAGTGATAACATTTTTTTTTACCTGGTTTAGGCCTTGCAGTTTTTAATCTTGGTTTATTTTGAGTTAAAGTTTCTTCAACCATAACTAAAATTCTTGCAAAACTTTTAATTTGAATCTTATTTATTATTGTAAAATTTTAGTAAAAATAACAAATTTACAAGAGAACAGCTGATTTTGTCTGACAACGGAAATATTCAGTAAGCCGCAAACTGGATAGCTAATAACAGTGTTGCTCAAAGTATAACAGATCTTTGTACTTAATTAATTTTGTACGTCAACAGCTTTCTTCTGTCGTTCATACTTGTTTTATACCATAAAAATTTAAGTTGGAAGAATGATTACATTTTAAAACTATAGATTGTAATTTTTATCTGAAACGGTAATGTGCAAAAAATGTATTGTGAGTCTCTATTTTACTTCTCTATTTTACACAATTCAAAATATTTCTTTTTTGTACCTTTTTCATAGAAATAACGTGCCGGTAATCACTTTCGTAGGAAACTCAATTTTTTGAATCTATCATATCTTTTGATGTTAGGATCAACAAAATTAGGTTGATTAAAAAAAATAACCCTGTTTAAATTATTTTAAATTTTATTATTAAGTTTCATCCATTATATTCTCTTTATTTCTTTATATATAGTTTTCACGTTTTCATTTTCTGCATTCTTATTCTGATTACTTTTAACATTTCATCAGATTTTTATGGCATTCCTGTATTTTTGACAACAAGCTAGTATTTTTGACAAGTCATTCATAGTTATTTTTATGAAGTGAAACTTTCTGTTTTCATTTTGTTTAGAAGAAGCGGTGAAGTGGAGCAATTGTTTGGAATTTAATTTAACCATAAGGAAGATTGTAATTTCATTTATAATATTTTGAAATTTATTAAGCATGGAATGTTTACAAAATAATCTAAGTAAAATCCGAGTTCCAAATAATTTTGAAAACGTATATAAGGATGAATGCGTTTATAGCTTTGACACACCGGTAAGCCATTGATGGAAATGATTTTGCATAAAATATGAAATTAAATATATGTATATTTTTTATTAGTCATTGATTTATAAAAAAATAATTAAAAATTTTTGTTAGGAATCACCAACCGGACTGTATATTAGTTTGACCTCGTTTTTGGGTTTTGGTGAAGATTTTGTTGAAGGTTACGCTAAAAAAACTGGAAATCATGTGTATTTGCATTGGCGTCGGGAAAAATATGAAGTAAATATACGATCAAATTAAGAAAAAACCTAAATATTGATTTTGTTTTCGTTAGATACCACAAGAACAGTTAGCAGATGGACCTGAAAAAAAAATTACGCGTTTAGCGATCGGCGTAGAAGGTGGTTTCGATCCCAATATTGGAAAGAAAAAGTTCGAATACAAAGATTTTTATAACATTATTGTTTTCCCAGAAAAAAAAACTTACTCATACCCTGATGAAAATTTGCCTATGATTGTGAGACGTTTTGAAAAATTTATATATTTTTTACTTATCTTTTACATTTAAGATATCTCAATCCGTTAAAGCAATTATTGATGCTGAATCAGCTATAAAAAAATTAGAAAAATCTTCTTTAGCTGGAACGTGGGATGGAGAAGTAAGGCAAGTATCAAAATTTGCAAAGGATTTAAGACAGCTAGAAAATGGTATTAAAATTCCACCTTCTGGTTGGAAATGTGAGAAGTGCGACCTTACTAATAATTTATGGTTAAATTTAACGGATGGGTCGATTTTATGTGGAAGAAAATTTTTTGATGGTAGTGGAGGAAATGACCATGCGGTATGTATTAATTTCTGTTAAGAGATAATATATCTCTTATATTATTTGTCAATATTTTAGGTGGAGCATTATCACGAAACAAGATTTCCTTTAGCTGTTAAATTAGGAACAATTACTGCAGAGGGGAAAGGAGATGTATTCAGTTATGCTGAAGATGATATGGTTGAAGATCCGTATTTAGTTGATCATTTAGCCCATTTTGGAATTAAAGTAGCCCAAATGACAAAAACAGAAAAGTCGATGGTTGAATTAGAATTAGACATAAATCAGAAAATAGGAGAATGGGATATCCTAACTGAAAGTAATAGTAATTTAATTCCAATGTCTGGACCTGGATATACTGGAATGAAAAATTTAGGAAATTCGTGCTATTTAAATAGTGTAATGCAGGTAAATAATTTTTTTTATATCGATAAAGATAAATTATAACATGCCTTGGTATTTAGGTTCTATTTACAATCCCTGACTTTGTTAAAAGATTTGTACTTGGTGCTAGCGATTACTTTGCTACATATCCAGATGATCCTGCAAATGATTTCAATATTCAAATGTTTGTTAACACAGTTTATTATATTTTCACAACTAAACAGCTTGTTCTAATTTTTCAGGGCTAAGTTGGGCACTGGTTTGTGTAGCGGAAAATACAGCAGTATTCCAGACAATTCTCTTGATTCTGAATCGACTGGAATTTCACCAGCAATGTTCAAAAATTTAATTGGCAAAAATCATCCAGATTTCTCCACCAAGCATCAGCAAGACGCTCAGGAATTTTTTCTACACTTAATCAATATTTTAGACGTAATTCGTTAATATTTTAAAACAAAATACATCTTAAAGCCTTTAATTCTTTTTATTTTGTATTTATTAGAGAAATAGCAGAAATCAAGAAAACCCAGCTAATGCTCTAAAATTCAGTATAGAAGATCGTGTTGAATGTCAAGCCAGTAAAAAAGTAAAATACACAACACGTGATGAATACTGTTTGCCCCTGCAAATACCTTTGAAAATGGCTACCAATTTAGATGAAGTGAAAGAATATGAAGAAAAGTTAGCTGAAGCTCAAAAGAACGGTCAAAAACTGTATGTTTATTTGATAAAAGGGATTATATTTCTTTAGTGTATCAAAAATTTTAGGCCACCAGATTCATTGGTTAGACCAAAAATAACATTAAAGGCATGTTTAGATGCATTTTCACAGAGTGAAATAATCGAACAATATTACAGCACAGCCATTAGAGATAAAACTTCTGCTAAGAAGTGAGTTTTACACAACAGTGAATGAATATAAAAAAAAATTAATGTATATTTTTAGAACTTCTCGTTTAGCTACAATGCCGGATTATTTGATGTTACATTTAAAAAAGTTTATGCTGAGAGAAGATTGGACGTCAATGAAACTAGACGTTTCCATTGATATTCCAGATATTTTGGATTTATCTAGTCTCAAAAGCAGCGGACTGCAACCTGGAGAAGAATTGTTACCTGAATTGGATGATAAAACTCAACTTGATAGCCCGCCTATGGATGAAAAGGTTCTGAATTCTTTAGTTGAAATGGGATTTCCAATCGACGCTTGCAAACGAGCAATTTTTTCTACAAAAAATAGTGGATTAGAACCAGCTACACAGTGGATAATGGAACATATAACCGATTCAGATTTTAATGATCGATTTGTCCCACCTGGTTTAGAAAATCAAAAATCAGGTACATATTAAGATTTCAATTTATACAAAAAAGTGACATTCAAAATTGAATTTAAAATTTAGGCAGCTTTAGAGCAGATCCTAATAGCCTTGAAATGCTAATGGGAATGGGTTTTAATGAAATACAAGCTATTAAAGCCCTAAAAGCTACTGAAAACAATATTGAACGTGCTACTGATTGGATTTTTTCGCATCAGGGTGATCTTGATGGCGCAGAAAATGATGAAGAACCATGCACACCAAAAATGAGAGATGGTTCTTCTAGTAAGTATATTATAATATTTTTCTTTTTAACAGACGTTTGTTTATTCGGGTATTTATAATATTTTAGAATATCGATTAGTTGGATTCATTTCTCATATGGGGACATCATCTCAAGTTGGACATTATGTTTGTCATTTATTAAAAGATAATCAATGGATAATATTTAACGACAGTAAAGTTGCGATCTCACAAAACCCTCCCAAAGAACTTGGATATTTGTACTTGTACGAAAGAGTTTAAATTTAGAATTTTTTTTATAAAAACTAAATAAAAGAAAATCTAATTGATTGTAAATTTTGTTATAAAAGAAATTTTAATTTTCTAAATGTAAGAGATATTTCGAAATATCTGTGGCATTTTGCTTTTTGTCAGCAATTTTTGATCCAAATTGAATAGCACGCTTTTGCAAAGTTGAACTATAGCGTAAGTTTAATTTAAGACCACATAATCTTAGCAAGAGTTTTTCGCCTATACCTTGACCTAATATAAAACAACATTTTTGTTCTGGTTCCAAATTATTTATATAACTGACGAAATTTTCTTCAATATATGGCGCTCTTGCTGTTTTTCCATTATCTGCTATCACACGATCATCTCTACCTAAATTTCTAAACGCTATTCGATCCCAATCCGTTTTCAATTCCTTTCGTACCGCATTAATTTTAGTAGAAAATTCTCCCTGAGTCCTTACAAAAGCATTTCGATGCCTTGTGTATCCACCAAACATTTCATCTGCACCACTGCCCAGTAATATAACACGACAAGTAGTTTGATATAACTCACTTTCTAAAACACCTTTTCCCCTAGAAGCAAACCAAAATGATGCACCTAAAGATTCGTCCAATACAGTGTTTAATGGATAAATTAAATGCTTGATAGTTTTCGACAAATATAAATCTAATTCTTTTCTTGTAACATTGACCTCCACAAAATTCCATTTTCTTTCAGGCATTAATTCTTTTAGTTCTTTAAAGGACTTTAAACCAGTTATTCTATCTGGAGTATACCAATCGATTTGTTGTTCATTTTTAGAATTTACATTTTCAAATGCCACATTGATTAAATCAATTGAGTCCGATTTATTGCAAAAATCGTTTGACAATTTTGCTAATATTGAACAATCCAATCCTCCTGAAAATAGTATGCCAATTTTTGAATGATTGCACATCCTACTTTCTTTTATGCAAGCCACACAGAAGTTTGGTGTGTTTAAAATTCGATCTTTCAACGAAAATTTAAGTAAATTTATAACATCTTCAACACATAATGCTATTTCCTCATCTTTTAGAAGCTCAACCATTTTATCTGTTACATTTGTGTTAAGATTTTGAACTTTTTCATAAAAATTAAAGTACTTTCTATTATTTAACATTTCTAAGCGTATACCATGTGGATTTTCCGGCACTACACTTTCGATTAAAGGTTTCTGAAATATACTTTCTATACTTTCTTTCTGATCTGGTGAAATAAATTTCCATGAAAATAACTCAAAATTTTTCAAATTCAAGCATGCATTATTAGATTCATATTCTATATGTAATTTATATAATCCAACAGGGGGTAATTCTGCAGGAATGTTTTTCTTGTTAGAAAAATTTGATGTACTTGCAATCTTTATCAAATTATTAGAAAAGTCACGTTCTACTACAAGAGAATTACGACCAAGAGGATCTCTTGCAAAATATAATAATTTTAATTGTTTATCATAAAATATTATACTGTAAGGACCTTTCAATGAACGAATTAATTCAATGATGGAGTTTTCCGTCTCACATTTCTGTAATTCTAGCGATAGCCATTCAGTGTCCGACATTAATAGTGGCTTATTTGCGTTATAAATATCTCCGTTTAAAAGTAAAACATACTTTTCGGAGACGGCTGGCTGAGAGAATACTTGTTCACCTTGTTGCCATAAAACGAAACCAAAAAAAGCAATTAAATCATTACATTCATAAACACAATTTTGTACATCCGGTCCACGATTTTTTAAAATTCTTTTGTATTCTTCTACTATATGTGGTATATTTAAATCCAAACTTAATAAACAAAGAATACCGCACATTATTTAGTTTGTTTCTAGATATCATTTATTTTAAAATTTTCACAAATTTAGAATTAAATTTATATTTTATCTAAACGCTAATATAATCGGGAAAAGATAAACAAATAGAACAACGTTCTTATAAATTACAACAAATAAGTAAAATAAAAATATTTATGTATAATTAAAATTTAATAACCTCTTTCGTTCTTTTGGCATTATTATTATTATTGTAATAAAATGTGACATTGTATCATTGACATTTCTATACCACAAATGCTCAAACATTTTTCGCTCATACATTTTTAAGTTAAGTTTGAACACAAATGCAATTATAACACGAAATATGAAAGCACAAAATTGAATATTATATTTTATAACTTATAACTAAGTATTAGGTTCCTTCACGAGACCGAATTAAATTTTTACTCCGTTATTATCTCAGTAAAAAATAATAAGCTTTGTTTCGTGTTAAAGGTTAAATCAAAATCAAGAGCAAAATTATTTACAGGAGAATTTTATCACAAATTTATGCCTTAAACACAATGACACAGCTTTTCAAACTGCAAAATGTGACAATTGCAAAAAAAAAATATAGATTCTGGGTTATTTTATTAAATGGAATCGCACAAAATTAAACTGCAACTGGAAAATAATCATATCAGATTTGATTTACAAAATTATATTTATAAAATAATAAAATATCAAAAATCGTAAATAGTTAAGAGACTTTTGTGTTATGAAACTGTGCCCATTATGTATCTACATAACAGTGCCCACTAGCATGTAAAATGCATAATACCCAAACTATTGTGTCTCTGCACCTTTATAAATAAATGATTTTTAAATCTGTATTTATACTACTTTAGTAGATTAGACATTTGTAACTCATATATTATAGGTTAAAAATTATTAATAAAATTATTAATAAAAATTATTCATTAAAATGTTATCAAATTAATAACACAATCTAAAATTTTACTTTAAATTTTTTCTTTATTCTTTTAATAAATAATACCTATGTAAAATTATATAATATAAAATTTATTACAAATACTGTAAAATTTTCAAAAAAATTTACAGTGACCGAAACGGTTCTAACATTACAAATTCATTTCTGTTTTAGATAAGTAATATATATTTAATAATTAGAATAAAACAAAAATACAATATAATTATTATATTTACAATTAAGTTTCTTACAAAATATTGTTTCATTTATATTTTTCCTGGAATGAGTGTGTACCTTAATTAATTTATTTTATTTTATTTAAACAATTCAATATAGTATTAAAATTATTTTTTACAAAATTCATTTCATAAACATATGTATACTACTACGATCAAAAATATTTTTTGCAAAATGCATTTTATTTTATTTTTTTTTAAAATTCAAATAAAAAAATATATGATATTATATAACATAATTTGTTTTAAAACAATATTCTTCTATATAAGAGTTGATGATTTTTCAAATTCATAAAGGCGGTATCGATTTTCATTAGTGGTGTACATTTTTAACTTGTTATATTGGTAAACTTTTTTAAAGTCATCGGGCAATTATAATTTATTATTACTAAAAATTTTATTCTAAAATGTTATATATTGTTAGAAAATTTGACTAAAATCTGTAATATAATAATCTGAACGGGCCTGAACTTCACTGCGTACAACATTTCCGCCATAACCTAAAACAAAAAAAGAAATAAATTATTTATATATGTTAATTATTTAATATTTTATGAAGTGTTATTGTGGTTTATTGGAGAAAATATTTTTTTGTGAGGCAATAAAATAAATATATAACTTACCAATAAAATGATTAGCTGGTGGCGATGCTTCTAAATCTGTAGCACCATCACCAATCATTGTAATATTGGCATCAGAATTTATTGTTTTTCTTATAATTGATATTGCTTCACCTTTACCACCAGATCTGGATGTTGGTTGATTTGTGTCAAAACCGGCATATTCACCTAAATAGATAAGAAAAAAATTAATTATTTAAAGATGTGCGTATGTCAACTTATAATTCTTAAACTAAATAAAAAAAACTATATACAATATTTAGTACTTTATTAATAATAATTGTCATTTTATTTTAACAAATAAACCTATATGTATATTCATACGTACGTATACATATGTAATCTTATATCAGTACTTATTTATTGGTTGGACTAATAAACCCTGAAACTCTTCATTTTAATAATGAACAAAAATAAAGAATACCAGTTTAAACTGAATATAAGAAATAAATTGAACTTCTTTTGATTTAATTTTTATTTTTTTCTTATCAGAGAAATTAATTTTAATTTATAAGTGCATAAGTATGTATATATATATATATTAAATATGAATATAGAGGGTCGTAAATTAAAATAATTATAAAAATATATTCTGTGCTAAATAAAGAAGTTGTACGTATTTTATTTGTTCTTGTTGTTTTTTTTTAATAATTATTATACTTATTTGACGCATGATAATTTTTTTTTTTTTTCATAAACTTACCGTCAAAATAGAACATTAATTTATTTGCGAAAACATTTTTCATTGGAACACCCAATTCATCAGCAACTGGTTCAATAAGACAATCAAAACCACCAGAAATTAAATAGACTGATGTACCATTTTTTCTTAGATTATTAATGAATTCCCTACAAAAAAAAAGCAAATTTCAAATTATTAAATTTACATAAAAAATTTTTAAAGAACATGTTTATGAAATTTTGGAAAAAATATGGAAAATATATTCTAATAGGACGCAAATTAATTGAACTTACTTTATACCAGGTGATAGAGTACTAGGATGCAATTTTAAAAATTCTCTAATCTGTTTTTGTGATGGTCTTATAATATCTAAACGAATTCTTAACGCATCTTGAAAGGTCATTGATCCACCCATTGCTGATTGAGTTAAAAGTGCTACCTGTGGCCCTTTACCACAAAATTTAGCTAATTCATCGATACCTTCTTCTTTTATCACAGTTGAATCAACATCAAAACAAACGATGTCCGAATTTTTTATAATAGCTGAAGCTTGATCAAGCCTTTTAACAATATCTAAAAATATATATATATATATATATATAAGTATGTGTAAATATATTAAAAAACTATGTAAATACCATTATATGTACAATTAATTGGACTATATTTAAAATATAAAATTAATTTAAATATGTTTAATATACTTAATATTTATTATATTGTATGGGAGTATAACAGTAAGGTCATTGTCATTATCCAATTTGTTATAATAATTTTTTAAATTTTTATACCTACTTGTTGTTATCAAAATTTTTTATATATGTATACGGTATTTAAAAATATTTTATATAAGAAGTTTATATATATAAGTTTCCATATATTTGTTAACGGTACTTTCTCATATTTAATATTTAATTTTAATTTTCTATATTTTTTTTGTTATATAAATAAATTTTACAAATTATCATTAATTTTTTTTTTAGACAGAAGTTCAATCATAATTTGGCGTTTTTATATTTTTGATATATCAATTTCAATTACTCCTATAAAAATTATAATTATCACCAATACGAGTATAACACAATAAAATTATGGACTTCCCAAAATCATAACAATAATGGATTAACAGAGGAAAACCAGTTTAATCTGGTTAAAGAATTTTAATTAAATAAAATTTATAAATGTAAAAAAAAAAAACAAATTAAGAAGTAAAATATGTTCGAAGGTCAAATTCATAGGGTCTTGATAACAAAAAAAAATTTTAAACATTTTCATTGACATCTTGAAAGGTTTACAATCATTTATTTGTAGATAGTCATTTTTCAAAAAAAAAAAAGAAAACAATAATTATTTTAATTCTAATCTTTTTATATAAAGTATTTAAAAGTATTTTATTTGAAAATTAATTCTATATAATGGTGGGTGTCTATATTTAATAAATTAAAACGAAAACTTAGTGTTTACCCAAACACAAACCAATTTGTAATCTGCTTTATTCAGCAATGAAAATTCTATTGCTGAAGAAACTGATTTGAGGTTAAATTAATATTTATGTATAGATAGATGGCAAAATGTCGAACATATAATGTTGACATATGTCAACATTATATTTTCGACATTTTAGAAGAGCTTGGTGACATTCTGAAGATGACAAATTTTATTGTTTATTTCAAGCACCTTATATAGGTGCAATACCCAAAATAACTATGCCTAGAGTTGGTTTATTTTAACTACTACAGTTCATTTAATAATTTCTTAATTATTCCTGACATTTGACTTTTTTGAAAGAGAAAATGATGCGTATAACTTTGTAAATAACTCAAGCGAGTCAAGAATATTTCGGATCAAAAATAAATTTATAATTTTTTATAATTTATAAATTTTTTTATAAATTATGAAATGCAATTTTATGTTTTTTATAAAATTTGTAAAATTATATAAAATTAGAACATCCAAAATAATATTTTATTACACAGTTTTTGCCATTATATTATGTACACGTATATGTTAATCTACCATTTATAAATAAAATTATTAAAATAGTAAAAGAATAACATAAAAATTGTTTTTCCAAATAAAATTGTTTAAAATTTAAATTTATTATTTAATCGAAATGATAAGAATTTGTTTTTTATAATTTTTTTTTTTTGGAATTTAGTGTTTAGGGAAAATTATTTTTTTCCTTTTTTCATGTTACTAACCGGAATTATGTCATATATAGTCTATAGTTTGAATAAATCTCAGCATTTTTCAAATTTTAATAAAAGCTAATATTATTAATTTGCTCAATTAACATGCATTTACTTTTACTATAATAATAAATTTATAATAAAATTATTGTCAGTGTCATCTGTTCGCTATATGTCTTTATTAAATTTAAATAATCGGGTATTTATTTTATAGTTATAAGTATATGTATATTATTTAAAAAATTTATGAATTAAAACTTACCTTGGTTCGGCATATTATTATTACTATTAATATTATTATTTTTAGGAGTTGTTGTTACACCTGCTGCTGCTGCCACTTGTGTTGTTCCTTTTTTAACTAATATTGTATTTGATGGTATAACATGACCATTTGTATTACTATTGTTTGTACTATTATTATTATCTGTGCTAGCTGATATAGCAACCAAACTTAACAATGAACTATTCAAACTAAAATATAATAAATAAAGAGACCAATATATAGTCAATTATATATAAGTTGAAAATATTAAAAAAATAATAATATTATCGTTTTTAATCAATATATAAATATTATGCAAAATTTTATATGGGAAAATGTTATATTTTTTTTAATTTTATAAAAATAAATGCCATACATTGTGTATATAAAAACAAATTTTTACCTATAAATGCAAATAAATCTGTATATTCTACATATTTTATTTAACATTTGAAATTTTATTATTGAATAAGTCAAATTGACATTATATAGATCATTATAATTATACATTTTGGAAGACGTCCTAATATTAAGTAATCTTAACTTCAAAATGCTGTAAATATACGAGTTTGATACGTCATAATTCGAATTAAAATTGTAATTACTTTAATTATTCAGCAATTACAACTTATTTACAAATAATACTGAATATTACTGCAATTTTGAAGCCAGGCAGGGAGTTTTTATAGCACGATTTAGAACATATACATACATAAGTAGCAATTTTTAAAACAAAACTTTGTAATTACCTAATATTGCCCATTATATATAGAAGTACAAAACTGATCGATTTTGTGCAAGCATAAGTGCGTATATATTGTAAATATATAAGTACATATGTATATATATGTATAGAATATACAATATATATACAATATGCGGTGCTTCTAATATTTAAATTAGGTTATTACTCCATAATAAAATAATTAAAGTCTATATGGCTAACAATTCAAATTAATCAATAATTTCTAAAAACCACACTTAAACTGAATATTTTATGATTAAAAAAATAAAAAAAAAAATCTTAAGAAATTTTAATCTTATCAATGTCGAAAATTCTTCATATACAAATTATTATAAAATAATTTTTGTGTCCCAGACAGAAAAACGGAATTTTATTATGTACTTTCATTTAATTTTTTGCTCATTATATACATGCACATACATTTGTTCATACAATAATTTTAGTACCCTAAATTTTTGTCATTTTGAGTCATGAAATTTGATTAAAAAAAAAATTTCAATAAATTTTTTTTTTTGTAAAGGAGCATTTACAATGATAAAAATAATAAAAATATTTAGTTAGAATTTGCAATAAAATAAAAAACAACTGCTTAACTTGACAATTGTTGCTTGTATAGTAATCAAATTCTTCTCCACTTCTGTAATTTTTAGAAATTGAAAGTAGAGTAAAATATTTAAAGCCAAAAAAAATAATGAAGTAACAAAATGTGGACCACCCTTAAAAGATTTGGAATCTCGAATAAAATTAAGAATCGTTAAATCGAACTGAAGCACTATTTATTTGATACTAAAGACCTAATAATTATCTAATTATTATATGTTCCAATATAATATGTACATATGTAAATATGTACATACATCCGAGCAAACAATCTTCGTTAATTACATTATTTATGTTTCAATATAATTAATAATGACAATATTTTTGGCACGCAAACAAACTGCTTTTCATTTCATATGTGTATTGAAAATAAAAATAAGAAAAAATGTTAAATGTTAAAATAACCAAATGTTAACAAAAAATACATAATATTAGTTCTGGTATATTCCAACTCTTGCGTTATCTAAATACATACATATGTACATACATAATGTAAGTAAACGAGTTAAATGGAAAATTTTTTGAAATATCCATGTTTTTTTATTTTTGGGACTTCTTTCCAGGCGGATACTATTTAAAAAAAAATCTTTTATTGAGAAAAAATGAAAATAAAACAACGAAAATTAATATATGTAAGTATGTATGTATAAATAAATACAGAAAATACTGGTTCTTTGTTTTAAAATAATATATGTTTGTATGTAATTAAGAAAATTTAAAAAAAAAAGACAATATGTAGGTATTTAAAACCTTTATTATGCAGCCAGACTATGAAAAGGTAAACAAAAACAACTATTTTAAAAATTCGCATCTGGTTGTGTTTTATGATAGCTTTACGATTTACGATAGCTGTTTTCGCATACTTATATATACATTTATCGTATTATGTATATATACATAAGAAATGGATCGTATGATTTTTGTTTTCCTCTTTAGTTGCTAATTTTCAAGGGAAAGTTTTTTTTTTTTGTTTAATTTATTATACTTGATTTACTTTTTTTTTTTTGTATGTATAAATGCAGCAAATCAAGTAAAACAGAATTTAAATAGCTCATACATGATACGAGTATGAGTAGTCCGAATTTAAATTCCGATAAGCAAGAGAATAATTTAAAAAATAAAAATTATTTTTAAATATGTACATAAAATATTCGAATGAATTCAAAACAATTTCGAATCGTTTATTTTTACGAAATTTACTTAAACTTCATGATAAACGGACACAATCATATTTTATAAATTAATTCTAATTTTTGAATTTGAAACAATTAATAACTTATAGGTATTTACCAGAATGCAGCCCTTACATCAATTAAACTTTATTCAGTAATACGATTTTAATTGCTGAATAAATCTAATTGATATTATATGTATTTGAATCGTGCTGTAGTCTACCTTAGTCATTGTTTATTTACTGAGAGAAAATTAATGAAGTTTCTCATTCATTTGTAATAGTTTTTCACTCATTTTTCATTTAATTAATTTCAAAAACTAAATGCCGAAAAAGGCTCATAGAACACATAGAACACTTCCATTTTATTGAGGATGAAATGATCTGATTGAAAATTAAATTTCAATAGTATAGCGTTTATACAAAACTCAGGTTTTGAGTGGAAAGCGCTTAATCATTATAATTTAGAATTCTTGGATTGTTATTGATTTCAAGGGACCGGAAAAATAATATCTTCACTATTTAGATTCAACAGTATTGTATACTACTATTCTAAGTTTTCAAATCCAAGTTCATAAATCATAATAAATAAAGTAAAATGTAACAAACTTTTATTATTTTATATAATTAAAAGTATACCAAGCCATTTTAAAAAAACCTCCATTTAAATTTCTTTCAAACTATTTAAAAAATTTAAAATTAAATTAATTAATTGGAACGTACTGAATAAAGATCAGGAACAAAAATTTAACAAAATACTTCATGAATATAAATGGCGTGATCCAATAATTTTAAATTATTTATGATGCAAGATAAATTATGTATAACAAAATTAGATTATAACAATATCTTTATACTAAAATTTTAAAAACAAAAAAAAAATTTTTTTTTAAAAAATGCAAAATCACTTTAAGAAGAAATAAAATTAAAAAAAAAAACACACACAAATTATCTCTATATTTTCAGTATTAGAAAAATAATTTTTAATAAATCTTTTATAATTTCATTATCGGGTCACTTTTAATTTATTAAGCATTCGCTACTGATTAGGTACGAAAAAGCAAAAAAAAACAAGTATAAGTAGTTGTTACACAACGATAGTTATTTTTGTTTTTTTTTTGTATTTTGTTTTTTTTTCAAATTTTACTTATATTTTGTTCTTTTTTCTCCTTTTATGTGTTTCTTTGCAAAATTGTAAAATTGGCATTTCTAAATTCTAAATAACTAAATTGATTCCGTTCAAGACCACGTGTATATTGAATGTTTAAAATTAATAATAAAATTTATTAAAAATTTTAAGGCATTTATTTTAACTGTTCCGTCAACTATGAGTATATAAGAGACATTTTTTTATAATTATTGATAAATTGATATAATTTGTAATTTTGTTTAATAATTTAATGGAGTAAATAGCCGTGCAAAATAATACATTTCATATTATTGTATGAATAATGTGTTCTCTTAAATATTAAATATTTTACCCTATTTACTACAAGTAATTTATGTATAATATCATTGTGTATGTGTTTATGGTATATTACCCAGGCACTATGATTGGTTTAAATTTTTATTAATTGAGTTGTTTAATTTTGAATGAAATAAATCCACAGTATATACAAATAAATGTATGTGCTCGTAATAATCACATCTTTTACTCTAATTAATTCACATTCATTTTAATTTCCTATTAAATAGGTACTAATAAGGCGGCTATTAAAAGTACGATATTACGATAATTGAAAAGTATCAAAAGTACGACCAATAATAATCAATAAAAGGTTAAAAAAAATACGTTGACTTTCAAGTGTTGCAATTATTGCTAAATTTAGAATCAATTCAGTATTTCTGCAATTTTGAAGTCACTGACAATAAAATTGAAATTTTATAATTGATTTAAAATGATGATTGAATGATTTTTTGTTAAATCACTTTCTATTCCTTTAAATTAATCAAGTAAAATTTAATTCAAATGTCAAATTAATATAGAGAACTTAAAGTATTTATTATAAACCTAATATGTATGTACATATAAAGTAAAATAAAATATTTCTACTTTTGAATATTTTGAACGAAAGCTTTTTGCTTTTTATTGGTCAATAGACTTTGATTATAACGCTTTTAAAGCAATTTAATAATTTAATTTGCATATTCTAAATTTAAAAAAAGTGTCTGAACGAATAATGAAATTTTTGTTTTTTTTTTGAAAATTTTACTTCCTACATTAAGTATAGCAATAAATTCAGAGTAGTTTTTCTACCAATGAAGTTATCTAAATAAATTATCTTATATTCTAGAAACACTATACGTTTAGAACTATCTACAATTCAATCTTTTTCTTTCACTAAATTTTAAAGTACGAGTATAACATAAATTATCACTTAGTTAATATTTAAGTATATCATGGTTAAATCTTATTTAAGAAATGATGAATTAAAATTTATAATAATTAAATGGCACTATATATACATAATTAATTTAAATTACAAAATTTAATTTTATATAATATAAAAATAATTTAAATTAAAATTAGCTTACCAACGACTCATTTTTAAATTTTTTAATATAATTGAATTTTTATAATAAAATATTAATAAATTTTCACAAAATTCACCGTTATTATTTATTAATTTTATACTATTATATAACGGTTTATTAATTATATTATTATTATAATAATATTTCCAAAATAAATTTATTAAAAAATTTCTTCTATTATTTCTTAAGTAATATAAAACTGGAACTAATAACTTGAAATACGATGTCGATACGTTTTTATAGCTGATGATATTATTATTGTACTTAATACCGATTAATGGAAATTTACAATTTTTCATATATAAATATATACTCATATGTATATATTAAAATTTTTGTATATGTGTATGTATATTTTAATTTATTATAATAATGATGCAATAATTTAAGATCATCTGATCACTTGAATGAGCAAACTGAGACTGATTGAAAATTAAAATGATTGTCTCACTATATTGTATTTTAAAGTTGTTGTTTGACAACAATAAAGACGAATAATAAAAAATAAAAACAGAGAAAAAAAATTGAATTAAAAGAAAATCATATGAGATTTTTCAAAAACACTAAAACTAAAACCTTTTAAACGCTATCACATTCAAAAGCTATACACAGTTACACACTATTTAATATTGCTATTCACACTGTTATAGATATACAGGTAGATATTGAATGTATTTTGAAGTTCGAAAAATAATTTTCGAAATTTCGAAATAATTTTTATGATTGATAACGAAACAATAACAAATAACAATGTATTTTCGTTTAACACAAAGAAAAATAAAATGAAAAACAAAAATGAGAGTAAAAATTCAGAAAAAATTTAAAGATGACATCTAAACTTCATTAATCATTTATAATATGAAAAAATATTAAGATTCAAATTTGGTAATGTTAAGAAATAGATATACTCGTAGGTTGAGTTTATGTTTGTCACATCAAGCATTAGGAATAAATTTTGACATTCCGAAGAACTACCTTTTTTCTAGTGCTGTCCCAGTGTAATTCTAAATGTATAGAATTTGAGTCAGTAAGTGGTGAAAACACGAATAATCTAACATATTTTGTTTTTAAGGTTTTTTTTATGAAGAGACGATTTTTGTTCCTGAATCATGAAAATTTCTTGTCTATACCAAAGACAATTAAATATAAGCAAGGAAATTTAAAGCTTTATAAAAAATTTTATTTTCTTATAAATAATACACTTCCTCTTCTTATAGAGATCAAAAAATAGAATCAATTAAATTTCGTTTTATTCTGTTTTGATCCTAAAAGTATGCAACCATATTTAAATTTGTTTTTTAATGAGAAAAACTCACTATTTAAGAATAACACAGATACTTCAGTTTTTCGAGAGAGCAAACTATAAACAACAAAATGTTTCACCAGCAACAGCGCTGTATTAAAATTGTTTATTAACCCCATAGTAGGTGTTGCATGCTATTTTATCTTCTTTTAATTTTTTTGAGTACTTTTGATAGGTGTTATTTATTGGGAATTTTATATTTATATTTGTATGTATTTAGGTATTTATAATATACATATGTATGTAACTAAATTTTAATAATAAATAATTGGAAACAGCTGTTTTAGCCTAATCAAATTCAATAGCCAAATACTAAGTAAAATAGCCACATTTATATTAGAAAAACAAAAGAAAAGATAAATAAATAGGTTGAAAGCTTATTTGACGTCATTATTTATAGTTTATGCATACGGGTTCTTGTGTGTGTGTTTCAATTATTTTATTATGATGAATTAATTTCAATTGTCAAGCAATACTATATACTTAGTTTTATGACAACTACACTTACATTCATACATATGTATGTATATGAAAATATCGAAATTTCTTGTACTTTTGGTAAATTTCTATGGAATTTTTTTATGGTAAAATTCCTTTGGCTTGGCCATAACATTAACCGAAATTTTTAATTATTTTTTTCTTCTTTTTTCTATTTGATTCGAAAAAATACAAAATATTTATGCACTATTTTGAAAATTCATTTATGAATTTACGTATGTATGTGTGTGAATAGCAACAGCAATCGTAAAAAATCTTTAAAAACAAATAAACAAAAATAAATATGTAGCTCTATGTAGAGAAAAACACACGATAACTGCGTTTTCGAAAAATATATGTAAAATAAAAAACTTTAATTTGTTTTTGTCAAGAATTTTGTTTTGATATTTTAAATGTAAATAAATTGCATTTTATTGAAAGTTATTATTCAATTAAAGTATTTTATTATGCATTATAAGTGCATATATGCATCAATTTAAAATTAAATAGCCGCGCATATCATTTTAACGATATCGGAACGCTTTTTAACAACAAAAAGATAAAAATATTATTGTTTTCTACTTTTAATAGACTTGTTTATCTCGGATTGTGTATAGTAATAAATTACTTATGCATTTTATATGCATTTAAGATATTGATTGCTTGTCAACAATAAAAATAAAAATTTTATTTTGTTTTCTTAGAATACATTAATTATCATTTTGTCGTGACGCTTAACAATAAAAACGCTTATTTATAACAATAATGTCAAAAGTAAAAAATGACAAAATAAACAAGGAACAGCTATTTTATTGTTAAAATAAAAATAAACGAAATAGCTGTTCCGAAGTAGTGTTAATCCTTTCTGCAGAAAATTCCAGACCCTTTCACAGAACTTCATACTAATACAGGATGTTTTTACAGTTAATGACAAAAAACCGAATGCGAACTCAGTTCTAAATTGGAACTGTAAACATAAACTAACTAAATCAGTTGAGCGTAAAAATTATTAAAATATACAATGGGAACTATCTGAAACATTATTAATTTTTATTAATTTTCTTTAAGCATTGTACATACCCAAAAATTTGAACATTAGGAAGAAATGAGTTAATGGCATGCTAAATTATTTAAAAAATTAAATTATCTAAAATATGATTTATTATTTAACATTATTATTTTAATGATAATCCAGCCTAATCCAACCCAGCCATATTTGAATTATGTTACATACTCGTATATATAATATTACATGATTTTAATTAAGTATAATAATTTCAATTTAAAATATAAATAAAGTCTTAGCTTTAAAATTAAATAATTTAACATTAAAATTTTTGAATGAACTGAAAAACTACCCCATATAAATGCTAAATTTACTATTCATGATATCATATACATTCATATGTATTATATCAATATTTAATAATAATTAAAAAATTAATTTGTAAAATTAATGATAATAATAATTAAAAACTTATACATATACATACATACATATGTAGATTATATTGTCAAATAAAGAGGCTATTGTCCTTATTTTTTCACTACACATAAAAATATTTATAAACAATTAAGTATGTTAATTATAAAGAATTGGTTAAATGTATTTAAAATGAATAAATTTTTCCAATTAAAAAAAATTTTCGATTAAATTACTTTACATGACGTATGTAATTTTAAACAAAATATGCACCATGCTAAAGGTCAAATAAGATAAAATGAAAATGTGTAAACAAAAATTAATTTACGAGCCCAAGGTTATTGGACTACAATTTTTGAATAAAATTTTTTTAGTTAGACTTGTTACAAAAAGAATTGTTAAGTTTTATGTATGTGTATATAGAAAGCAAGATTTAAAAGAATATGTGGGTATGTATATATAGAACGGATTAAATTCCATAAGCGAACGGATTAAATTCCTTGAACGACCGGTTAGATGTGGGCCCAATTATCAATTTAAAATTTATTGATATAGCAAATAATTTCAATTAAATAATATTTTTCATTTTAATTTTTACATAAATTAAATATGAGTCAATATTTTAAAAATATTTTAATATAAGAAAAAATATTTTTTTGAAAAACATATGACGTCTAATAATGAATTACATGTCAAAATTTAATCAAATAACATTTAGTGTATTGCGTGTTTTATAGAATAATGTTTTTTTTTTAAATAAAAATCAATAAAACGAATGGTAAATAATATTTTAATAAATAAAAAAATTAATAATCGGACTATAATAAGGACAAAATAATTTTTTTCTTTGCCATACTTGAACCGCTATATCGTTATATGTACAGTTTACTTTGAAGAATTTAAATAGTTTCGCCCGCCCTCTCAATCTATAACTCTTTTTCCGCATAATATACATAATACATATATTTTAAAATTGAATTTCAACGACCCCTATCGGATCTTATATTTTAAAATGAATTTCAACGCCCCCTATCGGATCTTATAAATAAAGAATAATTAGAATACAATAGTCGTTAAATATTGCATTGTCATCTAGAACCGACGTATGTACAAAAATAAATTTAAAAGTAAAAATATTAAAAAATAATTAATTAATGTTATAATTTAATAAATAATAATTATTTCCCACTTTCATCTTAATTTACTTCAAATTATATGTCTTCAAAACGTATTTACTTATATACAAGATATAAGTATGTATAAATATACTTACATACATACATAAATATTGTAATAATTAATTATTTTTATATGATTTACAGCCACATGAATAAAAAATAGAATGAAAACTTTTTATATTAAAAAATTAAAATAAACACGATTTTTATTTATTTTTTTTTTTATTTTAATATTTTTGTTTTTACGCGTACAAAACGTCCTTGTATTGGAGATTAATGTTTTTTTTCTACAATTTATTTTGAAATTCTTAACATTTAACTGTTTACATATTTATTTTATATGTATATACTCATGTCATACAATATTAAACGCAGAATTCAAATTACAAAAAAAAAACCCCCCAACAAAGATTGTTTTTCCTTTCAATTGCACCAATATTAAAAACAATTCTAAAAATGCACAATAATAATAAGAAAAAAAACTTAATCATTTGTTTACATACTTGTTTACAGCTTTACTATCTTTAATTGTCACTAAGCGGCGTAATCAATACAATCATTTATTTTTTATTCGTCATTCACAGAATCGACCTGACAGAGTAAGTTCATAATATCACATATACTTATGCATACATAAATAAAATATTTTATAAATTGAAAAACAAAAAAACATTTATAATGCAATTTTAAAGAAAGTTGCATCAAAAAAACATGCAGCTTTGTCTGAAAATATTATTAATTTTTTTTTTGTATTGTTGTTTTTTTTAATTACGAAATGCAATTGAATTTGACATAAGATAATTTTTTTTATAAAACTTTTATGTACGAAAATTTTTGACGCTTTCGTTTTTTTTTTAAGAAACTGTCTAAACCGATTAAGATGATTTTTATAATTTTGCGCTTTTATAATTATTGATTATTTTTCAATTTTAAATTATTTTTTATAGAGAATTTTGTAAAAAGAAATATATATATATATATTTCATTTAGAATTGATTTGAAAATTTTCTTACATAATGTAAAAATAAAACGTGTAAACTGACACCATAGTTCACACAAACGAGTTTTTTTTTTTGTTTTAAGAACATGTTTTTGAATTTTCTCATGATATTTGTGAATGAAATATATATATGAATAAGTGAATGAGTAAAATGATTAAATACTATAGAGCTTGAACAAATTATTAGAGAATTTTGTTCTATAATGTTGACAAATGAAATATTTTGATAAGTAAATCTGTCAAAAACAAAGCGTATTCTGTAAACTTAAAAAGATCAGAAACCTTTTTTTTTAATTCAATAACAAATTGTAGTCAAAGATAATTTTATCGAATTTATTCTTCAAATTATGCCTTACCTGTTATAAGTCAAATTTTTTTTTAACTAATACTTTCAATTTACTTTCAATACAGACGGCAACTCGAATTAGCTTAAATATTTATAGTGCAAACTTCTTTAACAATTATTACTCTAAAACTTCTCCTAAATTTATGCAAAATTATTTGAGTAAAATTGTAGTAACGTGGTATTAATGCTTAATTCAAACAATAATTGCTAAATTATTTTATCAATTATATATAAAATATAAATACAATTTTGAAATCACTAAAATTCAAATTCTAGATTTGAAATTATATGCTATTCTTTTAAAACCATGATTTCGGTTCTTGAATCATATATGAAAGAATGTAATCGATAAAAATTCGAAAACATTCAAAAACTTATGGGCCTACATGCATAAATTCAAATCTATGAACGATTTCAAATCTAGATTTTAAACGATATACATAGGTTTCAGTCACTTATAAGCTATAATAATAATTTAAAACTATATATTATAAAGTTAAAATATCAATTATTTTAATATTAAAGATATACATAGTTATCAGTATTGATATATTGCTAAGGGTTTGTATATTAGTATCTGTATATAGTAGATATTAGAATTTGTTTTTTTCAACTTTTGAAGGGCATTCATGTAATCATGTGTAATTTGTGAAAAAAATGTGACTTATCTAGTTTTTTTAAGTAATTATTGTAGTAATTTTTTATTCGTACGAACTTCATGTTATATAAGAATTCTAAAATCACAATTCTAGTTATTCTTGTTTTATTTTTTTTCCCCTAAATGTTTATTTTTATTTTAAAACAATTTTATATTTTCTTACAGATAATAGAGATTTTTTTTTCGAATACTAGAGTAGTAGAGAAATTATAATAATTCTGTAAATATTTATAAATGTGAGAATATAATTATTATATTTGTATATGTACATACACGGTAAATATTATAATTATAAAGTTTAACTAAATTGAGTAACGTTACACAATTATTTGAAGATTCAAGTGTAATCAAGTTTATTTAAATTATTTTCTATTTATTCATCTTGATTTTATCATATTGTAAATAAAAACATTTCTAAATCTATTAAATTAAATATTTATAATATATTCATATTTTTTATTCAGTGCATAATCTCACTTATTATAATATAGCTTTAATTGATATATTTTTAATTTTTAATATAAATGTAATTGCTTTATTTGATTCAATTAATATACCCAATTATAAAAATACCATTTTTTTTATTTTATATCGTATATTTTAAAGTATCGTAAATTTTCAATAAATTTTTTTTAAAATTTTCATAAATATCTTTAAAATACATTTTATAAATGCATAAATCAAAAAGTCCTTGCCATTGAATTTACTCTTGACCTTGTGTATAGGTTATTTCAATTTATTACTATATACATAAACGCACATACATAAGAAAAAAAATATGTATTAAAAATTTCATTTTTCTTTTAATGAGATGACCTTGAACAATAATATAAATTCATTCAAGGAAAATTTCGTAAAATTTTATTAAAAATAGCTATATACCAAGATATTCCGATAGTTCTATATAGTTTTATGAAATTTTATAATTATATTATTTATTGAAATAATCTAAAAATATATTTTTTAATTTTAAAACTTACTGAGAAACTACATGCACACATAAAAAGCAAATGAAGAAGAAAAAAAAAAACTAAAATTAAATTGCGAGAATTTTAAGAAACGAAAAATAATATTGCGAGTAGCCGACTTGTTGTGATGAACTGATTTTAATTTAAAATTTCAAAAACAAAAAATTTATATAAAATATTAAAGATAAAATAAACACCCACATACATATATAAATAAATGCTATTCGTTGATATATTATGCATTTTTATCTTATTTTGAGAATATTTATCCTACTATTTTTCGTTATATATGATTATGAATTCTCTGAAAAGCTTTAATGCAAAAGCTTTCGACTTTGTTTTCTTTAGATAAAATGTATATAATATAAAAATGAGAAGAAAAAGAAATTCATTCTTCTCTTGACTCTTAAATATTATTATTGTGAATGCAATTGCATATTTTATCAGCATTTATATAGGTAAATACAGACATACATACACTGCATATTATGTATGTAGATATTTAAGTTGTTAATATGCAATAATTTTCTAAATTGTGTATTAAATTTATGATTTTAATAAATTTATAGTTAAAGGTTACCAATCTACTTTCAATTTATTTTAAATACAAATTATTCATTTTAAAGAAATTTTATTTTATTTTCAATTTAAATCTCATTATTACACAAAATTTAATGAAGTTGCTTATGATTCTTAATTTAAAAAAGCCATCATTTTTAATATAGATTTTCTTTTTGGAAAAGCAAATAAAACTTTTTGATAAAATTTTGAATGAAAATTGTTAAACATATGTTTATGCATATACATAATAAATTATAATAGTTTTAGTAAAGTGATATTTGTAAAAGGTTTGTGATTTATGATAATATAATCACCAATATTCTGCCAGTTGCTTGTATAAATTTTATTCAAAAAGCTTGTATAAATTTCTGAAATAAAATCAATTCCAAAATTTCAAATTCTATATATGTACTGAAAAACAAAATTCTTTTCAATATCATCCCATCACCCCAAGAGTAAAATTTCACTTGGGGTGATGGGATGACTGAATATCAGTGAATATTTTAAATAGTGTGCAATAAAATATATATATGTATACAACATTAAAATAACAATTTTTATGGATTTTTTTTATAGTTAATTCAAAATAATTCAAAGAAAGACATTCAATATGTCTTCTAGTTTATTATTTTACATAAAATGATTTAAAGACTTAAAAATAAATTTATTTTAATTAATCATAGTAATTCAGTAATATTACTCGTAACTAAAAAAATTATTCTTTTATTAATTCCTGTTTTTTGCATTTAAAATTTTTTAATTAAAAAAAAAATGATATTCATTTAACAAAAAATAAATTTTAGTTCTTTAAAAAATGTAAGATGATAGGTAAAACTGAATCTGTAACATAATCAATTTTTCATTTCGGAAATTAATTTTTTGTTTTATTAAAGTTTCTTAATATTCCTAAATCAATTGTTTGGTTTAATCTGACAGCGGTTGATTCACTGTCTTCTCTTTTTACTTCAGAGTATTTTTGTGAAGATTCTGGCGAATTTTTTGTTGATGAAAAATCTATTCCACAATCTTTTAGTAGTCCAAAATCAAAAGAATTACTTAATTGTTTTGAATTTTTAAACAATTCATTTTCATAATCAACAATTTGGTTATTCATTTTATTTTTAAATTTATTTTGTGGTGGAACAATTTGGAGGTTTTGAATTATTTTAATCTTATTTTTATTTTCTTTTTCAAATAAAGACTTTAATTCTGACTCATTTACAATCTCATTTGATGTTGTGTCTTGTTGGTTTTTGGTAGTATGAAAACTAAATTTTTCATTGTCTTTTAATCCAAAAAGATTATTTGTTTCATTTTGAAAACTTTCCAAATTATTTTCAAATAAAAATTTATCTTCATTTAATTTCATTGATGTATTTACATTTTCATTTCTACTTTCCTCCAATATTGAAGACATATCTTTAGTAGCTAATAAATTTTGAAGTTCAACTGGTAGTGATTCTTTTACAATTTCAAACATTTCTTTAGCTTTTTTTTGAAATTCTTCTGATGAATATGATGGTGTATGACGTTGAAGTGTCATTATATCTGCATAAAAATCATACATTTTAAAACTAAAGTCTTTCATCAAATCATTACTGGATACATTTAATTTAGTATTCTTGTGTAGTTTCACTGGTCCAAGATCAGAATTATTCATAAAGTTGGCAATTGACATAAAACTGTCAGGTTTTTTTGGAATTTGAAAACTTTTATTTGGAAATAAATTATCAAGAGTTTTTTTCAATATATCAATTTCATCAATTGTTTCATTATGATTTGCAGATGCATTATTCTCATTTTTCTAAAAAATAAAAAAAAATTGTTTTTTAAAAATAATAATAGAAATGAATTTTTAAAGCATTAATTATGCATACAGTTGAGTTCATCCGAATGTCATTTAAAATATCATAAGCATTTTTTATAATTTCATCAGGTATTCCAACACGTTTTGCAAGTTTTAGACCATAATTTTTGATGGTCGTTACACCCTCCTTAAAAAATAATTTTTGTTTTTATAAATTTAAAAAAAAAGAGTATAATTCGTTTTATTAATTACTTTAACTTTATGGGTATATTTTAAAGATAAATTTTCACCATTAATAATTTCCTCGGCTTCAACGTGTAAACTAAAATTTGAAACAATTTAATAAAGATTCTTAAATTATAACATTTAAACAAAAATAATTTACTTGACAACATTGAAAAATTTTTCTTTTAATTCAGTTAATCGTAGAAAATGTGTTGCAATGTAAATGTGTGGCATTGGCAATCTAAAAATTTCAATATTTTGAAGTGTAAAACCTTTTATTTCAGAGTCTTCATCATTTGTATCTACTGTATATCCTTTTTTTTGTTCATATACTTTATAATTTGTCTCTAAAATTTGTTCAACTTGACATAACTTTGAGCAAATTTTCCAAGCTAAATTAAATCCTCCTACAGGATTTGTGGTTCTACAAAGTTCATCAATTATGATTAAACTTCTTGAAGTGATATTATTAAAAATATATTCTATTTCACGTATCTGAAAAATTACATAATGGTAATTAATATTCAATTAATTTAATTAAATTTACTTTACCTCATTAATGAATCCAGATCCATTCTGTTCTATTCGGTCATCGAATCCTAATCGCGTAAAAATCTTGTCACAAATTTTAAACTTTGCCTTTTTCGCAGGCACATAACATCCCAACTATTAAAAAGTTTTTAAAGCTCAACATTTAAATAAAATAAAATAAAAATATTTTTATTTTTAAAGTAAAGTATATTTTTAGCACTTTTCCAAAAAATTAAAAAAAAGTGCTTATTAATTTCACTCTGTCCGGCCGTCCGTTCGTCTGTCCGTGTGTCTGTTTACAAAACTTCTACACCCTTGAAGCATTTTTGAAATTTTGCAAACGGTATACTATAGTTAAACTTTAGAAAAACAAAATGGCCGTTCAAATTTACCGTTATCTAAAGTCTTTTTTTTCCAAATTTTTGATTTCGTTTTTCTTCTAGACCCCAGCCTGTAGAAGCTTGAAATTTTAGGGGCTTTTAGACATTAACAAATAGTTCATTTCGTTGGAAGAAAATTTTTTTCCATCTCCACTCCCTCTCAAATTATCGCCTCTTGAAATTTGTAAAATTTGAATTTTTGACACCTTATATTTCCGAAACCGCTAACTTTTTCAAATTTCTATAAACACAAAAAGCTAACGGTAAATTCCATGACATTAAAAAATATAATTATTTTTCTTAACTCACACAATTAACCCTTAAAATCGAGCATTATGGTAACCCCACTTTATATTAATTTTTGCTTTATTTCAAAGACTGCATCATCCTAAATATATGCAATCCTAGAAATAGCTTTGTATATAAACGAAAATAATTTTAATAGTGTGATAAATATATATAGACTGTATTTAAAAGCAGAATTTTCACTTGTTGAAGGGAAAAGTGCTACAATACAAACCAGTGGTTTGACCCAACTTCATTTTGATTTGAGTTCTTACCTGTGCTATAATTTGAATTATGGCAATTGTTTTAAGATAGACAGTTTTTCCAGCCATATTTGGGCCAGTTATAACATACACATTATATTCCGGTGTCCCGATCTTAATTTAAAAAGTAAAATTTTAATTTACAATATTTGTGTTTATTTCAGCTGTATAATAATTTCCATAAGCTTACAATATTGTTTGGTACACAAATTTTACTTGATTTTGAATTTTCCAAAAAAATATGGCAAGCATCAATAACACGAGTTTCTTCACCAAACTCTGGACAACAAAATCCATCCATTTGGCTTACCTTTAAATAAACGATTATATATTTGTATTTAATCAATTTAAAATATAATTTTTAATATTAACCTTAGTATACGATAGAATAATATCCAAATTTGCAATTAAATCTACTAATAAAAAGTTTACTTCACTATACTGTATTAAATCTTCTGTCAATTTTTTAATAATTCTAAAATTATATGTACATATGTAATAAATATCTTAATAAAATAGAAAATTATTTTATAATATCAAATAAGTTGCTTGATAAAAATAAAAAAAATTACTTTTCGCAACAAACATAAATTTCATTAGCTGTTTCTCTCAATTTAAAATTTGATTTTATAATTTCATTTGTAGTTAAATACATTGCATTAGATTTTTCATAAATCTGAAATTAATAAAATTGTTCTCATTTTCCAATTTGTTTTTTTTTTATATATTTTTGGATAAAATACCAAAGTCAAACCAATTGGAATTTCTATTTTTTCGCCTCTATTTTTTGGTTTTAATAATTGAATATGAAATCCTTTTGATGCTGAATAAGTCATTCGTAATGGTAAGGCATACTGTTCTGATAACTGATTTATATTTTCTAAAATATATTTTAAGAAAAATTATTAAAAAAAAATATATTTTAAAATTCAATATTATTTACCATTTATAGAATCTGTTAAATTATTATAAGTTTCTCTTAAAATATCCAAGTAATCATTTAAACCAGATCGAATAGCATGAATTCGTTGAAATATTTGTCCTGTACCTCTAATGAATCGAGTTTCTGGCCGTAAAACTTTATCAATAATATTTAGGATGTGTGCAAAACGTTCATCCATTAAATTCTTTAATGTAAGTGAAAGTAAAAAAAAAAAATATATTTTTATAGAAATTCTTAAAAGTACTCGCTTATTATTTACTGTATACGCCTTGTACAAAATATATGATTTAAACGGTTTCAATACTTTATGTAATTCAGGAACAAGTTCAAACTGAGTTTTTATGAGTAATATTCGATCAAGCATTGTTTGAACAGATTTAATAATATCTTTTTCTTCACGATCATTTAAAGCTATTTTCAAAATTTTATCAACATTATAAAATTTCTTTAAAATTTCCTGAAAATCAAAAAGTACTTTTAGTTATATAAAAATAATAATTTATATCAGTTTTGAATGATTACTAAAATTACAACTCAATACAAACAATAAGTCCTTTGAAATGGTCTCATTGATAACACAAGCAAGCATTTTTTTTTAATATAAGAATTATTTTACCGAAATTTGACCAATAAAATTTTCATTTTTAGATTTTGTTAATAAATCCTTAATGGCTTCCTGAACAAAAACAATATCTTTAAGTTCTAAATATGGTTCAAGAATTTTCGCTCGAATTTGTCTTTTTCCAATTTGAGTAACAGTTTTATCTAAAATATCTAACAAACAAGCTTTATTTTGTCTAGCTTTAAATATTGGTTGTAAAATCTCCAAACGATTGTATGTATTATAATCTTGAAAAATTTGTATACATTATAATTTAAATTCGAAATTTTTTATTATTTTTTTATTATTTAACATACCTAAAACCATTCGGCCAAATTTACCATCAAATTTAATTTTCAAACTGTTTGTCATAAATGTAATACTGTTTATGGCCTTTAAATATTTAAGTAAAGCAGAAGCTGCAGATATTGCATAACATCTTTTTTTTTCAATTAAGTTTATTTGAAATTTTTGATTATTTTTTTATTGATTCATTTAATACCATAGTAATAATAACGTATACCTTTTCTCATAAGTTTTAATTTCAGTTTTACAATTTTTCGATCCATAATTCAATAACATTTCTTTACCTTCTTCTTCATTGAAATGTTTTCGTGGTAAGGGAGTTATTTTTAAATCAAAAAATACCTTTTGAATTTTTTCAATTGATTTACAATTTCCCTCAGTTAGCGTTTTAGGTATTAAAATCTGTTAAAAAAATATGAGCTCTATACTCAAGTGTACTTTTATTGAAGATTTTTAACTTACTTCGGTAGGAGTATGAATTTGTAATTTTGTAATTAGAGATGTATATAACAAATCGTCATTAAATTGTGATAAATACAGTATAGGACTCCCTAAATCAATACTAGCTAATCCAATTTCACCTACTGAATTTCCACTGCCTTCACAAAATGCTAAAAACATGGAATGGATTTGTCAAAGTTTTGAAATTTATTTAATATTCAAGAACTTACCTAGAATAATTATATTTTTTAATGTACTTTCGGAAGAATTTTTGGCAGAATTACCATTATTTTTGGTGTCAGTAAAATCGAATGTATTATTTTGTCCCTGATCTAACGAAATATTGCTTAAAGATTCAAAATAATCTTTTGGAAATGTATTTGATGTTTTATTTTTTGCACTGACGCTTTTGCTAAAAATTTTTTTATAAGTAAAAAAAACTTTGATATTTATGGCAATTTGTATTTTACTTTAAATATTGAACTGAATCATCTGGGACACTTTCATTTTGGGCAATAGATGTTTTTGCTGTTTCAATTGCACTTAATCTAGCTTTAGCTAATTCCAAAGTGCTGGGATCTTCAAATGAAAATTAAATTTAAGTACTCAACTGTATTAAAATTTATAAAACAAATAATTTTTGCTAACCTAAATGCAAAATTCTTTCATAAAATTTTGAATTGGACACGTAATTCATTTTAAGTAACGGTACTTTATTGAAATTAATTGAAAAAATTTATGAATAGCAACTTCGTTTTTCTGATTATCACCGTATTAAAGCCAAATTGAACTAACGAGAATTTCTGTAAAATTAATGCATATTGTTATGTATTTACAGTTATACCAAATTTTTTTCAATGTGAAAAGTCTTACCATCGGTGATGCGTTTTCAATGTTTTCTTCTCAGTAAGGTAATGTTTACACAATATGTCACAAAATTTAAGATTAAATCTACAATAAAATCTTTGATGGTTGTTTACATATCAAACTGAAATTATCTGATATGGTCAGAATTTACATCAAAATTTAATAACTTAGCTACAAAAATTTTAACCAAAACCAAAGTAATCGCCATTGCAATTTCTTTTATTTGCCCCAAGACATAATTTGATGTAAAACAGGGTTTACATAGAGTCAAATTAAATCACAGATTTTGCCGCATACTTAAACAGTAAAAAACACTTTCAATACGATAAAATGTAATACGTAATGCTTTATTAGCGTAGTAAACGCATTTCACACGGTGTAAGTTAATAAATTTGCTGTTACATAAACCAAACCGTATTTTATCAAAAAACCTTCGAATATAGTCCGAAGGAAAGTTCTTTATTTAATAGAGTTATGCAGAAGATAAGTTTTGTAATTACACAAAAGAACCAACTTATTTTGAGTGGCATTATTTTGAATTAGAATACGTGATCAGTAGCGCCCCTTAAACGAAAGTAGTTCATCGTGTATTATACAAATTTTCTCCTGTAAATCACTTGATGAATTTCTCCTTTATGAAATTTGAATTATATACAAGTTTTATAGAAGTTTTACATTGTGATATCCGCAGGCTGTAAGCGGATATCACAATGTAAAACTTCTGTAAAAATGTTTTGGGAGTATATGTACAATTGTATGTAAGGCAAGCGGTATGTAAAGTCGAAATGCAGTAAAAATGCACAATTGTAATAGAAAAAGCAACACTAGTTACCATTTTTTGCTTTCGACTATCGAAATGTTTTTGTGTTTTTTTCGACTCTCGAAATTATTCGCTGAATTCGCTTCATAACTGATTTCTTTCGCTGAAATAACTGTCTTTTTCTTAGCGAAAATTTTAAATTATTATTGTTCATATTAAAAATCTTAGTTCAGTACGAACATTTGTTTCTATATTATTATCAAAATCGATTGGTTCCAAAATTTATTTATTAGAATTTCGCAAATATCTTATGATTTGGTTAAAAATTTTCAGAAGCGGTAAGTATTATAAATCAAGGGACGATTTGAAAATGGTAATTTTGAAAGTTTGCTTAAAGATTACATTGAATTATTTGGATTTGTTATATAAGTCTTCCAAAAACATAACATGACAACGCAATTATATCGCGATATGTATTGAAAAATGCACTGTATTAATGCTAATGAACTAAATCTTGCTAATGCAATTGTGCACAAACATTGCTAAATTTTCGCAATAGTACGAAATTAGTATGAGTCATATGAAATAATTTAAATCATATGAATTGTTTTGAATATATAAAATAATTAAAAATATAATACTTCCCCAGAACATCATCAATCTGACGATCATATAAATCAAATCAATTAAATCCAATTGCAAATGACGGTCATATTCAAATAAGGCAACTCCTGTCAGTGTTGATGTTTTATAATTTATAAATAAAAAATTTTTTTTTTTCTTTCTTGTTTTCTCTTACTACAGTCATTCTTAACAATAATTAGTTTTTGTAAATGCAGTAAAACTTGAGGGATTGCAAAAAAAATCAAAAAAATGCGATAGTAACAGAAACTGGACTCTTCATGATGCCTGGCGCATTGGAATTTATGATTTTTGCAAATTGTGAGTTTTCTGTGTTTATTTTGGAATAAATTTCATTTGTCCATATGTTGTGTCAAGCGCATATTTGAATTTATTAGAAACACGTCATGTTTTGCATTTTGTAATTCTTATTTTTGCATTACCTTCGAAAGCTGGTACGCCAGGGTCAAATAATAAGATAGAAAATAAAGTAATCATTCTTTTTTTTTTTCAATATTTTATTTAAGAATTTTAATTCTTTTATAGTATAACAATTTTCTTTTGTTGATTTTCAAAATTTGCATTTCCTTGTTGATAAGTTTTTTTTTTTTTGCCTTAATTTTTCATTTTTCCAAATTTTTTTTTATAATTTTAAGTTTTTTTTTTTGTTTTTTTTTTATTTTTATATTTTTTTTTTTTGCAATTTATATTAACTTATTCTTAAATATTAAAGTTCCGTCATTTAACAACTTTATGATATTAAGCAACAATATTCCATCTTTTTTTTTTTATTTTTTTTCTTTTTTTTTTCAATATAATAACATATCTTTAGGTGATTTATTATTTTTTTTTTTTTGTAGATTTTTCAACAATATTTTATTTTAAAAACAAATTTAACATATTTTAAATTGTTTACAAGAATATGTATAATATAATAATAATAATTATCATGTTTAAAATCAATAATTATATTAAGAAAATATTTGTGAAAAATAAAATTAATTACGAAAAAAAAAAAAAAAAGGCACAATTGAAATTTTGAACGAAAAAGTAAGTATGTATATTTTTTTTTTTTTCAATATAAGAATTGCAAAATTAAAATTATTTGAATTTGTTTGCATGTTTATTATTAGGCTAATATAAATTTTATGCAGTAGAAATAAAATTTTCTATTAAATGAGTAACACTTTAGTGTTACATTTAGAAAAGGCAATACAAAAAATTAAAGTTTTTGTATATTTATGGTATATTGTAGGTACTATAAAATATTATAGATGTAGGCTGATTTTATGAATTTAAATGAAGTATAGCTAATAATATAATTTTTGTTTTTCTGTTTCATCTTATTTAATTATATGTACTTATTATAAAAATAATTTTTAGTTTATTTAATGTTTTATAATTGTGAAAGATTTAAAAATTTTTTTTTTTTTTGGTGAAGATCATCAAAATTATATTTATATTATTTTCATTGCTTTGGCTCCACACATTACGGAACTTTGGATTGATTTCTTTACTTCCTTGTTTAACAAGTAAAATAAAATATTTTTTTTTTTTAATTGTATGAAAATAGTATACGATTTTTTCATTAACATGAGCATGTATATTATATGAATTTAGCAAATAAAAGTGCATAATTAAAATAAAACCTATTATTTTAAAAATTTTTGAAAATTTATAAAATTATGGTGAAAAAAATATTTATATTTATGTATGTATAATATTGTGTTTATAATGTGTATATGTGATGTTATAATTTGAATGGAAAATAATAAAAGTATAGAAATTAGAAATTTCAACAAAATTATTATTAAATATCCTCAGTTAATTATTATAATATAATATAAAACCATTCAAATCGAATAAATTGGAACTTAATTTTATAAGTATATTGTAATTTTCATGTAAAAGGTAAATAATATTTTATTTTATGTTTGTTTTTTCTTTCTTTTTCAATATATATTTATCTCTTTTTTTTTTTTGTTTTTTTTTGACTTTCTTTTCAAAATTTTTTTCCATTTGTTTATTTTTATAATAAATTTTCTTACATTAACATGCAACAAACTTCAGGTGGCTTAATACAATTATCATTATTATTTTTACAATTATTATTATTATCATTATTTAAATTAATATTTTTATTAAGCGATGTGTCATTTTCATTATTATGATTTATTGCAATTGAATAATTTTTTTGAAATTTTTCTTTATTAAAATAATTTTTATTATTATCATCAACATAATTATCATCATCATCATCATTACGATCATTTTCTTTATTTTTATTGTTATTATTAAAATTAATTATATTATTACTTAACAATTCGTTATGATTTGTTAGTAATTTATTATAATTAATGCTTTTACCATAAAGACTTTCGTATGGGGTTAAATCATTTAATTCGTTCATTGATGAATTGCCGCTACTAAACCTAGATTCCATAGTATCTAAGACAGTGTTGCCATTATTTCGATAATTTAAGCTATTATTATCATTAATATTATTATTATTATTATTTTTAATATTATAAATAGAATTTCGTTTTGGATTTTGTTGTAAATATTTTGAAGGATTTTCAATAAAATCATCCCAATAATATTCAATTTGTTGTTCTAATGATATTGTAATATTTTCATCCGATTTATTAATATTATTATTTTTGGTAGCAACCCTCTCACATGTATTGTCATCATAAATTTCAAATTTAATATTTGATAATGGATTATCGCTATTATAATCACTATCATTATCATTTTGATTTTGATTATTAACATCATTTATTTTAAGAGATGACACATGTAAGGGGTTGCTTTTCAAGTTTTTTGACTTTTTTATTTTATTTTCTTTATTGCTGTTTTCATCTTCTTTATTTTCGTTATCTTCAATTTCTGTTCCATCACTGTATTCTTCATCTTCACTATTATCTGTTAATGACCAACAATCATCTTCCTGATAATAATTGTCTTCATTGTTATCTTCATTTTGTAACCGATGTAGTGATAATGACGATTTAATTCTTATATTTAAATTTGGATCATCTGGGAGCCTTAAAATGGGTTCGGGAGTTTTTTCTTTGGTTTCATGTTCTAACCATTGTTTAACAGCATGTGTTAACGGAAATTTTTTGATATCATGGGAAGCAATTGGTGATTCAATTTCATTTGTTACAGATAGACAAGGAAACAATTTTGAACATTTTTTATCATCAGAACTTTTTGTAACATTCAGGCTATCACAATCTTTAGAATTTGTATTATTATTACTACTAGAACTGAGATCTAAATCTATAGCATAATTAGTATTAGTAATAGGTTCATTAAAAATTGGTGATATATTATGATTATTATCATGAAAGTCAATTCCTGATGAGCAACTGGTATTACTACAATATGTTTCATTTTTTGGCGATGTTAATGAATCTTCTAAGGTACTTGAATTTGTTTCTGAACTTTCTAATGAATTAAGATCAGTTTCGGAATGGTAATAACCATTTATCTGTTCATCACAAACTAAAGGAGGAGTTGCAATTCTATCTAATTTTCTTAGTTGCTCCTCTAATTGTTGTAATTGCAAAGCAAGACTAGATGTTGACTTATGTTTATCCAAACCATTTTCATTTATTGCAATATCATTTGAATCAGAAAGAGAATGTGATAATCTTTCTCTATAAATTTTTTCATCATTATTGTATAACGGTATTGCTGTCTGATTTATTTCCTTTAGATTACACAATCTTTCGGTATTTAAAATGGATTCTTCAACACCATTTTTATGATTTTTGTGCAATTCTATTGCTTTGTCTATTGTATAGCTATTTTCTAAATAATTTCCATTTATTTGATTGCATATTATATCGCTGGATGTATGATTGGATTCATTGAAGTTTTTGTCTATTTTAATTAAAGTGTCTTTTAGGTTTTGATTAATGTCTTTTATGCAATTTAATCCATTATTTGAATAATTAATTTCTTCTAATAAGTCACCATTCAATTTCTTTTTCAATTTTAACTCTGGAACATCATGTTCTGATAATTCTTTCGAAACTGCCTCAAAAACTGGATCGTTATCATTTTCAATATCTATTTTATGATTTTGTACTGCTTTGCATATTTTTTCAATTTTAAGCATGTTTTCTGAAACTTCATTTTCGTTCGATATTATCGTAGAGGGTTCATTTTGTTCTGTAACAAATAATCTATCACATTTTACAGTTTCCTTTTCTGAGTTCTCTGTCTGACCGTTAATGTCAAATTGCAAAAAGTTTTGGTTATCTGTTGAAGCAAAATTGATATCATTATTTTGATGTCCATTGCACTCCTTAGTGAGGTCATCTTCAACATTCTCAATTACAATCTCCTCCTCACTTTGGATTTGTTGTTCAGTGGCACTAACTTCACCAAATTTAGTAGAAATAGCTTTTGGTGTTTCCTCAATTATTGTAGTTCCTAAAATTAAACATTCTCTTGGCTTATCAATTTCATCATTTTGTATCATTTGATTTTCAGAATTTTCTAATTTTTCTTCGATATGCAGTGATTCCTTCGTATTACTGATGTTCTCACTTCCGTTTTCAGTCAATGCATCTGGCATTTCGTACATTTGTTCGACTTCATCTGCATTTTCACTTATCATGGAAGAAAATGGCTCTAGTTCTCCTGACGGCGCAGAAATTTCATTTTTAACATATTCGACAGTTGTTTTGGAGTGATCCTCATTCAATTGATCTTTTTCCAATTTTTCCTGCAACTTAATTATTTCCTGCAGTTTTTTTTTATCATCATTTTCTGTTTTAGGCTCTTGTTCACTTTTAGTTTCTTCTTTTAAATGTGTCGCCTTAACTGTTTCATTTTGCTTTAATAAAAATGAGGTCAATTTTTTTTCATCTTCTTTCACATTTATAACCTTTCCGTTTATAGATGACTGTACAACATCCAAGTTATCAATTGATTTTTCGACGGACTCCATTTTTTTGATCCATTTTAAGGATTCTTTTATACAGTTTTGAATATAATCCGAGTTCGCTTGTTCTGATTTTATTAATTGACTAGGAACTGTTGCTTGTTTGGTACCATTAGAGTCTTCATGCTGTTTTACTTCTGCAACAGTATTTAAAACACCATCAACTAAATTAATATTATTTTCTTGGTCAAATTTTCCACAATTTGGAGTTGAGGTGTTTGTATTTTCCGAACATGAAGACTTTCGTATCAAGTTTTTTGGATCCTCGCTTAAATTTGTTTTTATATTCCCTAAACTATTATTTGCAATAACAGAGGATTGATTACAGCCATTTAATGCAATAAAACTTGCATTAAATATATTATCAGACTTTTTGTTACAACCGATTGGTGAAGAACCATTACTAGATAGTGATTTTATGACATTCAATACCATTTCTTCCTCCTCCTTTAGAATATTTTTAGTCTTATATTTATAATCAAAACCGTTTAACATATCTAAATTACGACCTAGTGCTGAATGTTTCATTAATAAGTCCGGTGAATTTCCCATAATTATTTTTTCATTGACTTCATTATCATCTTCGTCTTCCTCTAAATTGGATTTCAATTTTAAATCTAATTCCTTCTCCAAATCTTCGTAGAGTTTAAGGGCAAGTGTGTCATTATCAATATCTTCCATTTCTATATTCTTATCAGTTTCTGTTTTATTAAGTTTTGTAAGTGGAAGTTCCAAGTTTTCATTTACATTTTCATTAATTTCTATATGCGATCCAGGATTTACTTGTGTTTTATCCTTAACTGCAGTCTTTTTGGCATTAGGAGTTTTCTTTGTAGATTTTTTATTCTTTTGTTTGGATTTCTTTTTGTCTGTACTTTTGTTTTCGGAATTTAATCCAGTTGCAGACGTTGTTTCAATATTTTCATCTATTTGAGAAATGTCGCTGTTTTCAACATTAGTAGCATTTTCACTATGAATAGTTTTAGTTTCGAGTACTTCGTCAGCCTGTATATCATCCATGTTAATATTTTCTTCAACTGGTAATGTCATTTCTTTTTCTACAAAATCTAAATCTATGAATTCTTTATCTACTTGGCCGCTATAATCTTTATAATGTTTATTTCTTTTACCACGAGATTTAACAGTTTGCCAGCTAATATTTTCCTTCATGGCAGTTAATTTTTCGGCAGTCTCGAGCGACTTTATTAATCTTTGAACCTCAGCATCATCCAAATCATTTTCTTCTGTTGATATGGCAGCATTTGTATTTGTAGAAGTTGCTTCTTTATTTGTTGCTTTTTCTTCGGCAGGTATGAGGTCTTTATTTAACATTTGTGCATAACTAAGTACATTTGTTGAAGGTAGTGATGGAACCGATTTCTCAACATTACTTGGTTTAGCTGAAACTTTCTCTTGTTCAAGTACTGTATTAGAAGATTTGGTTACCTTAACATTTTCAGTAGTACTGTTTTTCTTATTAACATTGACATTTTTCTCAGAATTGGAATTCATATTAGTGTAACTGCGATTATTTTTATTTCGATTACTTGATTTATTATTTATTTTTGCAGCTTTATCTTTATTTTTGAAATTAGATTTTGTGTCTTTGGTTTCTATTTTGTTATTAGTTTCATTTAAATTTTTATTACTGTTCTGGAAGACCTTGGGTTGTTGTACATTTTGTAAATTTTGGTCATTTTGCACTGCTAGAGATTTCTTTATTTGTTCAGCTAATGTTGGAACTGGCTTTTGACTAGATTCTTGTATTTTTTCAACTACATTTGTCGAATATAATTTAATACTATCTTTAACATTAACATTTTTCTCTTCTACTGAAACTTCATTGGGTTTCTTTAAATCTAAATTCTCAATTTTGAATTTATCTTTGGAAGGACTTGCGTTAACTTTCTCTGCGAGTATTGTTTCTGCATTTTGATTCACAGGAGAAGCCAAATTATTTGATATTGAAATGTCGTCATTTTGTTGAAGATATCTCGGTTGAAATTCTTTAACATTGACATTTAAGTGTGGTTTTCTAGGCACGAACTCGTCCACATTAACGTTAAGATTATTAACGTTAAATTGCTGGTTATTTTCCTAAAATAATAATTCGACGTCTCAAAAAACAAGTTAAAGGTTTTTTTCAAAAACTTACAGTCTCTTTAATATTTGGTGATTCGATTTGATCAGCATCACATGATTGTACATTTTCACTTGAGATTTGTATCTGCGTTGCGTTTTCTGCTGGAATAGTAATAGAACTGCAATTTTCTTCTTCCTTGAGAGTTTCATTAGTTTGTTCTATTTCGTCGTTCTGTAAGAGAAATAAAGAATATTAAATAAACAGATAAAACACATTTCATAAAATGTGATCTAAATAGTAAGGTAAAATGCCGGGTAGTCACGAGAGCTTTAATACCATTTTGGGACCATCCTGTATAATTAAAATACACACAACCATAGATGTGTGTCTACAAAAAGAAACTCTATAAACATAAATTTTAAATACCTCTTTGAAAATCATTTCTGTTTCGGTTGGATTGACTTTTTGTTCAACTAAATCTGACGTTACTATGCTTTTACATTCAGTTTTGTCAACGCTTTCTGTAATTTCTTCAATTTGTTCACCTTCACCATTTGTTGTTATGGATTCTTCACTAATTATGCCAGGATGAGCTTCGTATGGAGGAGGACCTGAAATTAGCTGAATTGAAAACAATTGCAAAAATATTTTGTTTTTGCCTTTACTTATGAATGGCATTATTGGTTGTCCGCCATAAAAATTGATTGGATAGAATATTGGTTGATACATTGGAGGACCGGCATAACCGAAATTAAAAAAGTTTGGATCACAATTACTTCTCTGTAGCATTATGGAACAAAAATATGTTTGTTAGTAAATTTATTAAATACTGTTTAAAAATGTAAATGGTTAAGTACCATATGTGGATGATAACATTTATTGTGTTGATGTTTTTTATCTATTTGTTGCTCTTTTGTTGAATCATCTGTTTGCTCCTTAGAAATTTCGGTATTTTCATTAATGTCTTTACTGCACTCAACATTTTCATTTGTAACCATTTCTTCTGATTTCTCATCAGTTTCAGATTGTTTTTCTTTTGTTTCATCTTCATTTTCTGAATCTATAACCGTTTTTTCTTCCTTGGAGTTTTCATCCATTTCATCGGAAGTTTTCTATTTATTTATTGTTTTTTATTATGAATTCACATAAAACGACTTTGTTAAAAATAGATTACCTTTTCATCTTCTGTTGGAAATCCTTGTTCAACAGTTTCATTGTCGACATCTGATATTGATGGTGTGTTTAAATCTGGAGGACAGAAATTATAAGGCGAATAACCATAAGGCATCATAAACATTTGACCAGGATAATGATCAAAGCTATTAGGGGGCACGAAAGCTACAAAGAAAAAAAGAAAAGAAAGAAGATTTGCAGAAGGAATTAGATTTAAAATTGAAATTAAATTCTCTGAATCAACAATTTTCTAGTAAATAATGGTTTAGAAAAGAAAGCATAATTTTCATGATTCTTTGATGTAATAAAAAATAAATGAGAGAATACAAAAATACATTTAATACCTCAAATGGAATTAAGTACTTACGATTAACATATAGAATACCATTTTGATCAATGTAACTATACATAAAAGCATGCTCTGGATCTACTATTGAATCAGAATGAATTGATGAACATTGTTCTGGACTTAGTGATGAAGGTACACTTGTTGCTGTTGATCCTGACTCTTCGGATACAATACTTGCTGTTGCTGATGAATTTGTATTTGTATCGGTTGAAGATAAATATGATGGTCTCGGTCTCGATAAATAACCCTTTTTAAATAGAACATCTTGTCTTGGGGTAGTTATTCGTGTGTACTCGTCTACAATTATAATTTTATTTTAATAATATGAAAATTTAAGTACAGTTTAAATTTAAAAAAAAAAAGGAATAAAATGCAAGAAAAAAAAACTGTGTCACTGTCATTGGGATCTATCTGGTCGTTACAAATTATGACTAATAAATATAAAAATACTATATACTAGTTATCTACTACTTTTTGCAATATTTGAAATAATTTGGACTTTTCCCCACAAATGCAATATTTAATATTCATTTTCAAAACGGTTACAGTTTCTTACTTATTTCAACATATAGGCCTATAGGCCAACGGTATTCATTAGCCCAAAAAAAAAAAATAATCTAGGGGTGTTAAATCAGGTTGTTGGTTGTTAAAATTGAGGTGAATATCACGATATAATTAATTTGCCACACCCTTAAATAAATATAATGTTTGTTTGACTGGTTATACAGCATAAAATTTATCTTCGTCTAATCCGATGTTAATGTGATAAATAACACAAATTAATTCAAATAGCTTCTAGATTTTAAGCAGTCTGCTAACCGTTTGTCCTTCCTCATTTATAAAGAAATAAAGGCAAATTACTCTTTACCAAAAAGTCTCTTTCAATAGAAATAAAGATCGGTCTTCAATAAATTATAGATTGTAATGGGGGTAACATTTGAATGGAATTACTTTATCAAATTCAAATTATTATAATTTAAAATTACCTTCATTAAAAAGTGGTTTCGGATAATTTTCTTTATTTGCCGCTGTTGATGATGATGATGTTGATGATGATAATTCATTATTTGATGATGTTTTATTTAAATTATTTCTATTATATGATGAATATGATGTCCGGTTTGCTCGACTAGTCGCTCGTCCAGCACCATAACTAGAATAATATTTTGTTGACGATAATGATCCACCATTTTGCATCGAATATGGTTTACGTCTATTATTATTACTATTATTATTATTATTGTTATTATAAGATGATGAATATCTTGAAGATGATGATAATGATCTTGTATATCTAATATTATTTGGATTTAATGTTGTTAATGTTGTATCATTATTGACACTAGAGGCGTTACTGGTGGTATTTATTGCAATAAAATTACTATTGTTATTATTATTGTTGATTGAACTACTATTGTGCTTATTATTATAATAGTAACTTGAATTTGTATTATAACTATTAATTCGAAAGTGATCGTTTCTATTGCTATTATTATTATTATTATTATTATTAATATAATTATTCGATGATGGACTGAATGCAGATGATTTTCGTTTTAAGTACGAGAAATTTGTTCCAGAATATTTAAAATTGTCATCTACTGAAGAAGCTTAAAAAATAAAGAAAAAAAAAATATTATATAAACACATTTGAACGAAAAAAAGAAGAGACGTAAAAATATATGGAATTAAATTAGAATTTATTATATGTTATTGGCAAATATATATATATATATACGTATTTTTAAATTGTAGCTATAAAGATCATTTTAGAAAATTTTTTGCGGTGTATTTATTAATAAACTACGTAGCTGCGTTCTAATATAATATCTTATTGAACATTATATACTGAAAACTTAGTTTTTAATACGACTAAATTGATAACATTCGTTTGAGCAGTGCATTACAAAGAAGTTTACAAAATGTATGTAGTAATTTGTTTCATACAAGACGTATTTTTAGGACGAAGATTAACACTATGGTTTATATTTTATGGCACTAATATGGTATTAAATTTTATACCGTAAATTAAAAAATTTGCCAACCACATTACCGCATTATGAAAATCTAATCGTAACCTATGAATCACATATTCATCAATTGACCAATGTAGATCAAACCGTATTAATCGTATTTTCGGCATAGGATTGAGTTTTCATTTAATATTGATATATTGGTACTCAACATTTCAAAAGCATATTAGATTTTCACTCAAAGACAATCTTGAAAACCCATGTTCAACCCTTTAAATTTTTTTTTGTTCTTCAATAACCTACAACTCATTGGATCAACCAAATTTTACTTTGAGTTTTTTTCCTTTGATTCTATTATTTCTTCTCTAAAATTTTGTTGTACTTTGGAATTTATTATTCTCTAAATCATTTATAAAAAATAAAAAACAAAATAGACTAGTTAAAAAAACATCAAAATAGATTTTTTTTTTCTTCACTTTAGTTGTTCAACTTTCATTTGGGGGTTTTCATTTGAGGAGAAACTTTTCAGTGGCGTAATGTGTATATACACTTTAATTTGTAGGTATGTATATGGAATCACTAAAGAAGGTCAGTTAATCTAAAAATAAAACACCGGAGACAAAAAAAAATAAATAAAATATTTTTTTTCAATGTTGAAACCAAATAATTTTTCCATATTGAATGGTTAATTCATTTTCATAATTTTAAAATATTTGAAAAAAAAAATAAAGAATTCAAATGCCAAAGGTTAAGAAAGAGTTAGACAACTCTTACGTATATTCTATGAGTAATTTTCGCATATTTCTTAGGCAATTGTTTGTATAAGCGTATTTAACGAAATATTTTTTAGAAAAAAAAATTATTCAAATATAAATTTTGTATAGTTTGAAACTTTCAATTGTATTTTATTTTTTTTGAATAAAATTAAAGTTCTATTTCAAAAAAATTCAAAAATTATTTTTGCAGAATGAAATCTAAATTCATAAGAGTCCATAAAGATCTATAAGGCAATTTACATTTTTTACATTTTTAATTTTGCATAATATTTTTACAATTTTACTTTGGAATCAATAACATTAATGAGCGCATCAAGATATATGTACATAAATTATGTTTTCTCAAAGGAAAAGAGTAGAAGTAAGACGAAATTTGCGTGTAAGCTTAAGCAACGACACGGGTTCTGTTCCTGAAGACGAATCACAGATTTGCTAGCATTGAGCAGGAGAGATTTCAGTATTGCGAGTGCATATCGGTTTAATAGATTGGAGGAGCTCTCGCAAACGCCTGTTAGTGATCTGCTGACCTTTGTCAAGGGACTTGGATGCTTTAGCGGATGGAAAAGTGTTGGTGGAAAAGTGTCGATCAGTTTTCTATTCTCCTTAGTATGCTAGGTGACAGCGTTGAGGATGAAGAAGACTGTTACACATCCGAAAATTTTTAACACTAGAGTTTTTTGTTTCATGGGTTTTGTTTCATTTAGTTCATCTAAAACTGACTATACACTTTTTAAGAAAGATATTCATATTCGGAAGAAATTTTTACCGGCTACAAATTTTGGTCGAAATATGGAAAGTTTTAATACCATAGTAATGACCATTCGAACATTCTAAAATTCGAAATAATGAACCAATCCTATATATCTATACTAAAATTTATTATTAAATGATAGTTTGCCTACATAATCTTCTAAGACAAAAAAACAAAATTCTGTACTCATAAATTGGTTTCATCTTAATAATATATTCAAACATAATTTTAATATTGTGAATTTTAAATAAAAAAATATTTTTATGTTTCCAATTCAATTTCAATTATTATATAACAATCTTATCTGAGGGGTTTCTATACGAGTATAATATTGCTATATTAAAAAATGATTGTTTGCGTGTATTTTTATAGCCATCAATTTTTTATCAATAACAAATCAAATTTTTATTTTTTAAAATTAGAAAATTACACTATATATATACACATACGCATATGTAGCTATATAATATGGTTTCCTTTGGAACACTGGCTATATTTATAGCTATGAGACAAATAAAATATGAAAACATAGATTAGATTTTAACGTTTTAAAATCTAATCAATAATGTATAATCTCAACTAGTAGTACCAATACTAAATAAGGCTTGTTAACAATTTTATTGAGCAAATAAAAAAAATATATTGTTTAATTTGACGTATGATTTATGAAACATCAAATTGATATGTAAATATATTAGTCGATTTTTTAAAATACAAAATAAATTTGTATGTGTTTGTATGCGTATATATGTACGATTAGTTAGTAATCAGCTTGACCTACTGCCACATTTGAAAAATTTTTTTTTTTCGCAATTAGCAGAGAATGGCAATAAATTAGAGAAAAAAACATATTTTGATGACTTTTGAGTAGTTAAAATCGTTGATGACTTTAAAAAACAAAATAAAAACTCTTATTATATTTTAATAAAATTTAATTTGAAAATAGCAGAATGTATTAAATATCTCTAACTACATTTAGAATATTGGATGAAATAAAGTGTATGAAAACGTTTACACATCAAACATTGTTCATTGATTTAATTTGATAATAATTCTGTCAAACAAAATTCACGAACGTTTACAAATCAAACTTTTCTCAAAATGTAATCAAATCAAACAAAATCAATGAGAACAATGTTTGATATGTAAGCGCTGACTAAAGCAAAAAATTCTTTAACAGAGACAAAAAAATGTTTTCAATAAAAAACAAGTCTATTTTGACTAAACTATCACAGATACTAAAAGAGTAGCTTGCGATTCTAAAACTCAAATATCAAGCAACGTAAGAATATTATACTGTACTTAAAAACGTTAAAATGGCGATTTTGACATTTAAATATTGCATGAATTATTTTATAGCTCGCAATAATTCTTTAAACGTATTTTTAAGTTTAGGATCACAAGACCTTCTTGACGAAGAATATTATGTAAGGTCGCAACTCAAAAATGTTTTTTTTGAACGCCATTGATATTTTGTTTTTTTGGTATAGAACAAGATAGTCTATAGAGAGCAGTGTATTCCAATATTTTTTAAGAAAACTTTTTCAGCTTTACAACAATATCTTTTAAAATTATACGAATTTTTGAAAAGTAAATCTATGTTACTTCCAACTGGAAAAAAAAATATGTAAGGAAATTTGTGGGATTATAAATGTTACATAAATTGTTGGCTTGATCACGCTGTTTTCAATAAAATATGAACACTTATCCCCATAAATACCTGATATGCTTGTAGAATTTTATATACTTATTATAATACTAATTATATTTGTATATTGTATGGCATTTCTTTAAAATTAAATAGGTCACATAGAATATTATAAATCTGGTAGTATTCTAAATCATAGTGGATATTACAAATATTCTATAATAGCCAAGAAAAATATTTTTTTATTAATTTGAATGCGAAATCATCGCATTTATAAATTCTTTTTTTATTTTTTATCAAAAATAATTTTTATTTATTTAAAATTTTTTTTGTTTCTTGCTTTATTAGTATTTTATTATCACATTTTTTTATTATTAGTATGACCATTTTTTTGTTTTTGTTTTTTATTTTGGAAAAGATTCAAAATTTTTTAATTTCCGTATTATAATATAGCGTAAATCTGTTAGAAATTTGTGTGTTACTAACCTTAGAAAATTTAAAAATTTAATATTAATTTTAATCCATTAGAGTATATTTCGTAATCATATTTTGAACGAAGTAAAAAGAAATTGTATAACAGTTCTCCAAATAGACTTCATTTTTTATGCCATACTTTTAAAAAAATATTTTATAGTTATATTTATTAAATAGTTATAATTAAAAATATTAATAATTAAAAATGAAAAAAATTTATTTCATCACTAGATTTCCTTAACGGACGGACCCAGAATGTATATCGTCCCGCAGAACCTTATGAAAAAAAATTACGAGTCTTTGCTTCATCTAAATTGATTCCGGTGTTTCTTCCATGAATAATGAATAACAAAACTAAAACAAATCGATTCATAAAAATGAGTTGCCAGGTTGTCGCATTTTGTTTGCCAGATAACGCATTAGTTTTGGTTGCTTTTTAAAAATTCTTTATGCTCTTTTATATTTGAAAAAGAATAGTTCTACTAATTTAATCATAAAATAAATCACCTATCGAAAGTGAACGTAAAGGCTACAAGGCTCATAGTATTAATCTATTGTCTTAGCCATTTTGCTACATGTGAAATGGTTGTAACTTCAAAATTTGACTCATACATATTTTTCGGTAATACAATTAGTTCTCCTAGTAACAACCTGATATATTTCTAGACCTGATATTTTGACTAAGATTGTGAAGTTAAAGTGGGTTGTGCTAGGGGTTTGATTTACATATATAGATCTGATAACTTTTTCACAGCGGGTGTTTTAGCAACATTATACGATAAAAATTGCTTTTGGTTGGATATATGTATGTAGCTCTAGTAATAACGTTGCATTTTCTAAAATCGATGTTTCTTTTCAAAACTTTCTTGTCTCTATAATGACAGTCAAACTATAAAGAGTAAAAAGATCAATTTTTTTTCTAATATTTTCTTATAAAATATACTAAAAATGATATCAGTTTTTATTTTTCTAAATATTTTACTGTGTA